GCTGCACATAGGTCAAAAGATGATATTTAAAATCCATCCTGCCTGAGAGATAATGAGTTCCATTTTGAAGGAGAGCATTGATTTTCACTGTGCTCGTGCTATCACACAGAACTGAGACATCTGTTAGAATATTTTTTGGTATTTGAACAAAAAAAAAAATAAATTTGTTATTGAAATTTGTAATTTGGTCTTGGGTGCTTTAAGTGTCTGTATTTTAAATTGTAAAGGATTATTGGCTTATTTGTCATTTAACCCTTACAAGTACAATACGTTTTTAGCTAGTACAAATTAACAATACTAAATTAGAAAGGTCAATGCCACGGGGCAAAATTTCCTGGAATCTTTTGGAAGTTTTCCTTTTGGGAATGAGCAGTGGTTGGGACTAATTCCCATCAAACCAGCTGGAGGCTAGAGAAAATAATATAAAATCTTCTTGCTAAGAGAACAGGGTGGAGGCAAATGTTCCCTTGCCTCATTTCTGTGTTTGCCTCTGGAAATAGCTGAGCTGAGCTGCTGTAGCTTTTTCTGTCAGCCAGAAAAGGAGATATTTTAATACAAGAGAAAAAACCCTTAACTAGGAGAAGTCACAGAGATGTGTCAGCTCCTGGTGAAACTGCCAAATAAACAACCAGAGAAGGCAGAAATCAAATCCAGACCAAGTTAGAGTAATATGATATGAGGAAAGAAAGCAATGAATTGAAATTTGGAGAACATAACATTTTTTCTGCTTGCTGAATTGGTTTTTAAGAAGAATATTTGGTCACTTATGTGCACCCTGTTTGATTCCACGTATGCCTGGTTTTAATTTCAATAGATTTTGTACCTGTTTATTACCCACTCATCTAAATTATGAAAAAGAAAGAACACTACTTTATCTCTTGATAAAAACGTTATATGATAATTTGCTTGTTTCCAATGTCATTCCCATTTTCCAGCATTTAAAACTTAGAATTTAGTAGTTATTATCTTTGTAACAGAATTTATGAAATGTCTGGTTCCTATTTTAAAGAGACTTGTATTGTGAACAAAAGAATATATGGATTTTAGGCAATAACAATAGGATAGACTTATCAAATGCCATCTCAGATCATCCCCAGTAAGGCTAAATTCCACGAATCAGTGATGGAAACAATGCTTGCACTGGTATTACACCCACAAGTCCATTTGTGCTTGTTCTCAGTTGGAAATAATTTCAGTTTCAGCTTCTCTTGCTTGGTTAAAAGCAAAACCCCTGTGTTTTTTGATCTAAATGCAGGTAGCAGAAGAGAACAATTTCTCATTAGAGCTTTTTACCACTAAAAGATGCAACTGTCCCTTTGTCTACAAAGACACACAATTCCTGATTTAACATTCTCAGTGCACATTTTTCTGCTGCTTCTCACTTTAATCAAAGGGAACTTCTTTGATTTCATGAAGAATCCCCAGTGGGGTCATATTGGCTGATTGAATTTACCTGAGTTGATTTGAAATGCTTACTTCTGGCCTCTCCAAAGTGGATTTACCAAGAAGAAGTTGTTCAGAGCTCATCCTGGGCACACATCTGCTTTTTTTGGGGAACAGGAATGACATCCCAGCAACTGGAGCCGCACAGTTGTAGGTTTATTTATGGCATGGCAGGTTTGTGCCACGTGTACACATGGATTATTGGGGTTTTTTTTAGACTTCTTCCAGCATTAAACAGGGAAGCACTGTCTTAGGTGTGAAAAATGCATATTTTATGATTGGCTTTTCACAAATGTTACACCCAGAGACCCAAAACAGCCTCTTCCAGCCCTGTTTTGTTGGTGTCGCTGTAAGCTTTAACAAACCTGAGAGGCAAATTGATTTTAGACACTTGTAGCTTATTCTGCTTAAAAAAAGATCTATTTTAGCACTGCTTTGGTGTTCACTGATGGTCATTCTGTCCCTTTTTGCTGTTCCCTTCCCCTGGAGCTGAATGTTCAGGTCAGAGCATAATGCAGGAGTTTGTATTGTCCCCTGATTAAATAGCCCCTGCTTCCCCTGAGACACACAGCTGTCCTTCAGAGGAAATGGATGGTGTCTTACAGAAACACCAAGGAAAATGCAGTTCCCTTGTGATGACAGCAGTGAAATGTTTGGTTTAAGTGTTGTACACCAAGCTGGATGTGCAAACACATGAATCACTTGCTTAAAGATAAATTTACTGCATGCCTTATACCTTATATTTGGTCCTGCCTCCTTTCTGTTTGGTTTTGCCAAAAGTTTTGGATTCCCCAAGCCCACGTCAGCTGCTTTCATGCCGAGCAATTTGGAAATGAAAGATGACATTTATTTACTGTCCCTGTACCGTTTCAAAACCTGAAATTACGAGTCCTCGGTTTAGATTTAGACCTTTCCAAGTACATGCTGTACAGTTTTAAGATTACTAAAGGCAAATTTCTTCACAAGTAGCACAAAATTGACCATAAGTAGAGGCAGTAAAAGGCTGCCAGTGCAAGGTGTGGTGTTTTACCCAGGTGAAGAATAAGCTCAGACTCACTTTGAGAGACAAGGGTTTTGTGAAGAGGCACTTTGGTCCTGAAGGCTGAAGACAGGAGTAACGTGCAGGCTTTGTGAGAACAGCCAAGGATCAGAAACAAGGCTGGAGCCTGTCCTAATTAGTTGCAGACTCTTGATTTCACACCTCTGGTGTCCTGATTGGCACCAAAGATATTCACCCTTAGGCCTGGCCCTCTCCCACACCTCAAACATCACCACCTGCACCCAGGGCTGTTTTACACCCCTGGTCAGACTCTATCCCCACCCAGCCTTCTCTTGACTCTCTTTTTTTTACCTGCTCTTTCCTTAGCAATGTTCACCTGGAGTGAGGAAAAGCTGCATCGCTCTGCCAGAATGAGTTTTTGTTGTGTTAACATTCCTGGCTGCAACCAGGGCTATGGGATCATGGTTTAGGTTGGGAGGGACCTAAAATCCCATCCAGTGCCACCCCTGCCATGGCAGGGACCCCTCACACTGCCCCAGGGGGATCCAGCCTGGCCTTGGGCACTGCCAGGGATCCAGGGGCAGCCACAGCTGCTCTGGGAATTCTCTTCCAGAGCCTGCCCACCCTCCCAGGGAACAATTCCTTCCCAATGTCCCTCTATATCTGACCCTCCTCTATTTCAGTCTGAAGACTTGAATCGTCCCCTCAGAGTGGATTTGGCACTTGGATGTGGGGCCAGGGAGCTGTGGAAGTGTTGCTGTGCCCTGCTGGGTCTCAGTGCCCAGGTCCCCTGGTGTCCCTCCCGCTGTCCCAGGGTCTGGAGCTGAGGCTGGGCTGCAAACAGCAAAGGGGTTTCCAGTGTCTCTTGTGACACCCCATTTGTGGGTTCCTCCCAAATCACCTCAGTGGTTTTGGTGAAGCCACCAAACAGCAAACCCTGGCCCCCACCTAGGCCTCAACAAATAGAAACTTCTTATTTCAGTGGCGATGTAATGTTTGTAGCAATGGCCTGAATAATGACCTGGTCTGACTGCAGAGTTCTGTGCCTGACTTGGTTGTTTGCTCATTAATACAAATCCTGTCAATTATAAAATATTTAAACACTCATTGATGGGGAAATTGCCTGCACAGTGCTGAATTTAATGTGCAAGAAACAAATCTGTCTGTAATTTGCAGAGTATGCTGTGTTGAGTTGACTTAGCAGGACAACTCATGTTCCTGTCAATTCAAATATTTGTCTTAAATATATGAGGATTTCCTAACACGTCTTTGAGCAAATGGTAATCCTACAGTGTTTGTGGTAATTCACAGTGTCTGTGGATGGCTTGATTTTCCTGCAGAAAAACCGACTCAATAAATCCATAATAATGACACCTTTAGATGCCAAAGACATCATTTAGCTTGCCATTTCTTAGGCCATCTGGGGAAACTGCCCATACCTTCTTCAGCCCAGCACTCTCCTCAAGGAACAAACATTTCTTATTATGAGCAGACTATAAGTTGATTTACAAGTGACAATTCTGCAAGTGGTGACATTTCACTGCAGTGCTGCTCAGGGGCAGAGTCCCAGCTGGAAATGTTGCTCTGGTTTGCAGCAGGTGAGAGGGGCCCTGCCCTGCCCTGCCCTGCCCTGCCCTGGTGGGTGGGTTTGGTTGCTGTGTGCACAGCCCGGGGTGCAGGGCTGGCAGTGGGATGGGGTGGGCACTGCCCATGGCTTTGTGGCTCTTGGATGGCTCCTGCTGCAGTTCTGTCCCTGGGGTGGCTGAGCACCACTGCCAGGGCTCCCCTCTCACCAAAATGTTTGCATTTGTCCCACTGGCTGCAGTGCAGCCCTGTTGTTCCCTTCCTTTCCCTTTCCCTTTCCCTTTCCCTTTCCCTTTCCCTTTCCCTTTCCCTTTCCCTTTCCCTTTCCCTTTCCCTTTCCCTTTCCCTTTCCCTTTCCCTTTCCCTTTCCCTTTCCCTTTCCCTTTCCCTTTCCCTTTCCCTTTCCCTTCCCCTTCCCCTTCCCCTTCCCCTTCCCCTTCCCCTTCCCCCCTGTGAGCATTCCCTCTCCAGCTGCTGTTCCTGGGTTCAGTCCCATGGACATTCCCTCTTTCCCTTCCCTCCAGGGAGGACCAGCCTTGTTGTGACCCTGGATCCGTGCCCCAGATCCAATTCAGAATTCCAAATTCAGGGCTCAGAGCCGAGGGTGTGGACCTGGGGCAGAACAAACCCACCCCCACCTCCTGGATAACCGGCTGCCAGAAGGGCTGAGGGATCTTTGGGGGATTTTATGGATTCTCTTTCTGTTGTGTTTGCACATGGCACTGAAAATTTGGCTTTTCCCCCTCCTTTTTGTGGAGCTCTGTGGGCAGAATGAACAATTCCAGGCCAGGAGCAGCCTGGGACAGTGGGAGGTGGAACTGGCTGACAAAGGTCCCTTCCAACCCAAACCATTCTGTGATTCTCTGAATTAAGAGGCTTTTGCCCAGTGTTAGACTCTATTTTCAGTTTTGTGAGCCCCCAGACTAGTTTGATGTGATGTGGTGCTCTGACAGAAGCAAACATGATCCTCAGTGATCTCTCCAGATTTTATTCAGCAGAGTATGTTTTGCTTAAAGGCAAAGCACTGTTTGAATCAGTCCTGCTAAAATTGCTTTTAAAAGAGAAAGAAGTAGGACAGCAGAGAAATAAGTAGGATATCAGGAGCAACAAATACACAATAACCTGAGGCAGAATATCATGGCAAACCATGCTCCAGAGTGTGGGGATGCAGAACACTGAGAAAAAACAGATTTTTTACAACAGGTAGGCACAGTCTTTGCACACCACGAAAGTTTTGTGACTCCCCATGGTGGTTTCATCTCCATGTGCTGCAAGGTGTGACAGGCTGGGCTGGCAGGGCACAGCTCGGTGCTGCTGAGCTGCTTTGTGGCACACACACAAAGCTGAAAGCATTGGGCTTTGCCAGTCACTAGGATTTTCTTTGGTCTCTTCTTGAAACGGGGGGAATTTTCATTTGTGCCTGTTCTGCTCCAGTGAGGTTTTGATTTTTTTTTTTTTTTTTTTAAATTTAGAACCCTTCATTCTAAAATGAGTGTTGGAACAGAGGGAGTGTTGGAAAGGGGGAAGTCTGGAGGAATTATGATAGGAAGTGTGAACTCAATTAGGGAATTTTGAGTGTGATCAGAGGAGAAATAGGGAAATAAGAGAAACAGGGAGAGTGAGGTTGGTTTTTGGTGGGACAGAGTGTGGCTGGAGCATGGAGAGCAGTGGTTCCTGGCCCCAGGAGGATTATCCAGCCTGTAAAACAGAAATGGGGCTGTTCCCTGTGGGATGCTGAGGATCAAACACGGGCCAGGAGGTGCAGGGTGTGAAATGTGACTCCCCACAGGAGCAGGGCTGGGTCTGGAGCCACTGGCACTGAAACACCAGCACCAGCGTGGGGCAGAACTGGGGACACAGGAGCTGGGGAAGTTCTGGGGCGTGAACAGATCCTCACCTGGCAGAGGGGAGTCCCAGGAAAAAAAAAAAATTAGTAATATCAACCCAGTAACTGCACCCAAAATAAGAAGGTGGGGAAATAAAAGAGAGAGTTTTCATAATAATTACTGGCTGAGGGCCACCTGCAGGGTTTGTTCCTGCAGAAAGCAGAGGCAAAGACTGAACCAGTGCAGCTGCAGGTGCTTGCTTTGCATGCCACTGGCACCCAGGGGGTTGGGAGAGGATGGCAGAGCTGAAGGAAGGACATTTCTTATTGTCCTGCCCCAAGAGATTTATTTCTCAATGGATAAATTCCTCTCTGCCACACACATCTGATTTCTTCCAGCTGCTGAACTTAGAGGTGGATATTTCTAAGGACTCCCTGCAGCTTTTACACAAAGCTGCATTCAAAGTGTTTTGCATTTTAGCTCTTTTCTGATGTTCAGATCCATGGATCTCATTAGTGAGGATTTATCAAAAGGAGGCTTCTGTGATTTTTTACAAACATAGCAATTACTACATTGATCAGGGCATTCCAGCTTTAAAAAAATAATTAAAAATTCAAGGTTATAATACTCTTATATCACAATAAATAATGCAAAAGCCTTCACATGGGTCAATTCTATCAGGCAGCTGTTGCAGCCACACTGTCACTGACACTGTGGTGATAACTGATTTCAGAGCAAGAGAAATGTTTGCTTTCACCCTTTGAAAATTGTCCTCGGGCTGCTTTATGGCAAGCAGCAAAACTGTCAATCTATTCTTTCATTAAAAGGTGGGTGTAGAACAATGCTGTTACCTGTTGGTGTTTGGAAAAACAGCTTTCCACAGAGGTTACTAATGAAATCTTTTAGAAAACACTGACTTGTTGGCAGTGGCACGGAGATAAAGCAACAGGCACAAACGAATGCTAGAGGGAATTTTATCTCAGTCTCTAGAAGGTGGCATTCCCTTTCAGGATTCATTCTCCCCAGCAAGTTTTTGAAGCTGTTTTGTAAGCCACTCTGGATTTCCTTCCATTATAACTATTTAAAAAACTTCAAATAGTTCAGTTGAAACTGGTTTTCACTCTAAAAAGTAGGAAACAAGGCATCATGTAGGAGGCTTTTGTCTGTCCTGCACCCTTCCTTCAGGCACTGCGTTTAAATGTATCTCAATGTATACATAAATATATTTATATTTATACACATATGGCGTGTTTTTTCCACCCAAAACCAGGTGCTTACAGCATGCACTGTCCCACACTCATGCCATAGCAGCAACACACGATTTCTTTGAAAGTCTTCCTCATCTCCAGGCTCCTGAAGGCGTAAATGAGCGGGTCAATGACCGAGTTGCACATGATCAGCACCAGGTAGGCGTTGAAGTGCGCGGTGTAGCAGATGCAGTAGGGGTTCGTGGGGCAGGAGATGATGAGGATGAGGTGGAGGAAGAAAGGCGCCCAGCAGACGATGAAGACCCCCAGGAGGATGGTGATGGTGACGGCCCCCTTCATGCAGGTGCGCTGGGGGGGCACGCCCTCGACGGGCAGCGCCGCGATGCGCTTGACGTGCAGGCGGGCGAACAGGAACATGTGCACGTACAGCGAGGCCATCAGCAGCAGCATGGTGAAGAACATGGTGATGAGACACACAATGACAGTTTTGCTCTCCGAGTAGGCAATGAAAATGATGCCACAGATGATGCAAGCCACCCAAATGAGCACAATGAGGGTCAGGGCTTTCTTCACCGTCATGATGCTGTGGTAACGGAGGGCATAGAAAATAGTGATGTACCTGTCGATGGCTATGACCAAGAGGTTGCAAATGGAGGCTACCAGAGAAATACAGATCATTGAGTCAAAAACATTGTCCATGTGCTGGATGAAGTGGTCGGCAATGATCAGGTAGCCGTTGCTGAGGATCGCGATCATGACGGTCTCCAGGGCGTTCGACATGCTCACCAACATATCTGCCACAGCCAGGCTGCAGAGGAAGAAATACATGGGAGAGTGCAGGTTCCCGTTCTTCAACACTGCCAGGATGACAAGGATGTTCTCCAGCAGGCTGATGATCCCCAGAGTCAAGAAGACCTCGGCTTTGATGAAGACCTGCTCGCAAAATCCGTCGCCGCTGCGGTTGGTCGGGACGGAGTCGTTGAAGTCTTCGGTGGCGTTAAGCAGCAGGGGCTGAAAGGAGAATGCAAAGCGTGTGCTGTTCATTGTCAGCAAAGCAGCTGAGCTCACCAGTGACTGTGGACCTGAGACAGCACAGGTTATAGAGAGGAAAAAAAAAGAAGAAAAGGGAAAACAAGTCCTTCCAAGCTGCTGCTGTGCATTGGGGTGCAGTCAAGCAGGACTTTAGTCACTTTTACAAGTGCAGGCATCAAACAATCTGCATTTATAGTGACTTTTATGTCAGGCTGCTCTTTCCTTCAGAAGAAAGTGAGCTCCAAAGCCTGCAGGCAGCAAACAGCTTTCTCTGCAGGGAAGAACCGGCAGCAGGACATTGCTGGGCTCAGCTCTGCTGGCGATGAAAAGCGGAGTTTCCCCGTCTGCCGGGGCTGCCAGCATGCTGCAGCTCAGCCAAGCATCTGCTGCTATTTCAGTGGGAAGAAAGGAGACGAGGACTAAGGGATTTATAGATGCAAGGAAGAAAAACCAACTCCTACTTCACCCTGCGAGCCGAGCATTGGCCACTGCAGAGCGAGCACCTTTGTGAGTGACAGCCGGAGCACCTGGAGCGCATCCCGGCACATCCCAAACTGTCTGGCGCCCTCTGCAGCGCGGATTTGCCCTAAAATTCCTCTGGAAAACCGGGTTTTCATCCGGGAAAACTTCCTGCCTGCTCCGGGCAGCCGGGTCCTGCCCTGGGAGGGTTTGGGGCAGGCAGGATGCTCATGCACCCTCCGTGCACCTTTGAGTAGGCACTAGGACTGGTCTTAACTGGGATTGTACCCATTTAAACCTCTGCAGGACTGAGGAGATTTTCATTTATCACACACGAGCAGGCAAGCATAAAGTAGATTTTCCCTGTGTTTCATTCCTTCTATATTTCTGTGGTGCAATTTTCTCTAGTTTGATTTTTCAAAAGCACTTGCTGGTGTCTAAACTCTTCCCACCTCATGATTTTGCAGAAATCGAGTGCAATGTCACCTCTATTAATGTTTGGGGCTTCTGTTGCAGGTTTGTTAGCTTAAAAAAAAGTCACAAATCTCTCCCAGTTTCATTCTGAGCCTGCAGGATTACTGCCTCGCACCCATAATTCAACACCAAGAGGCAAGCACTTCTTAAATTTAACCTCCAGGTGACAGTTTTACAAGGACAGTGTTCAGTGCAGTAGGTTTAAGTGAATAAATAGCTGGGGATTTGACCACCAAGTTGCACAGATAATGTTTGATATAAGTGATAATTAAGTGTGGCATGGGTGCAAAAGTAAAATTTTAGGATTCTAGATTAGGGGTCCAAAGGGGACAAGATGGAGGAAATTGGGTGTGCCTTGTCCTTTTTCTCCTTCTTCATGCCCTCCATGTTTCACTGTGCTGTTGGCATTTTTCTGTTGGTTCAGGCTGGGGACACACTGTCCAACGTAGGTGACAGATATTGGCACGTTATTGTAAATCCAGCACAGGTAGTTTGTGGTATTTAATGTTTGTACCATCCCACTGAGGGCAGAGCCCCACACGCTGCCCTGCAGGACAGAGCTGCGGCAGGGCAGCAGAACATGTTAGAGATAAACAGAATAAACAGCCTTGAAACCAGCACAGACCAATTATGGCTTCTGCTTTGGCAGGGGGGCTGACAGAGACTTTCTACAATCTTGGAATCATTTAAATATCACAGATTCCATCAGAGTCCCACAGCCCTGGGGCCAGAGGCCAGGGGAGAACAAGTTCTTGGAAGGAAAAACATCCCTTGCACCATTGTTCATCCCCTCTGTTTCCCCCGTCGAGAATATTGAATCTCCTTCCCACATTTCATTCTTTCAGCCTCCAGGCCAGAATCCCTGACCTGTTTTGTTCCCTGCAGATGGAGAAGAAAAGTGTATTTCAAAAACCTGGCATGACTCAGTCTCTCATAGCTGTGGTGATCAAATAGGTAGGAAAGAAATCTCTGTGGGTTTGGCTGCCATCACCCTCTTGGAGTATTTCTTAGAAGTTTTCACACCCCCAGAAGTTTATAGAGACAAGGGCTGATTTTTATGCTTGTTTTACTCGACCCCCAGACTGATTCTGACTGCAGAGGGGCTTTTCAGCCTCCAGAGTGATTTACTGGAGGTGAGTTCTGGAGATGGGCCTCAGGGTCTGACTCAGCTGGGAAACAGGAACCTTTTGGGATGCACCTCGAGTTCATCAAACTTGTGCTGGTTCTGTGTGCAAACCCCAGCACCCGGGTGGGCTGCTGCAGTTAAAACCTGTTCTCTAACTAGGACAGTTTTTACTGAGGAAAACACCCTCTGTGCTTCCATAATGATTGCTTTAAACCCCATAAAAATGATGTTAAAACAGGTCCAGATTTGACAACATTTATCAGCAGCCTCTGTGCTGTTCTGGATTTGGGGCTACTGACCTGTGCCCCTGCCAGGGATTTTTCCTGTTCCTTTCTTGGCCAGAAAAGATGAGAGTTCCCGAGCTCAGAGCTGGATTTATCAGCATTCAGGAACACTCATAATCACAGGATATGATTATCTGCAGGTGCTTTTATTGAGAGCTCTGGGAATCAGGGGTACAGACCCAAATCTGACTCCCACACGGCTTTCGAGCTGAACATATTTTATATTCTATCATTATATAACTTACATATTAATTATTAAACTTATATTGTTCTATTGTATACATTGGCATGAGTTTCTCATGATCTTTCTTAGGCCCCTGACCACAGTTTCTCATTATTATTCTTATGATTAAACAGTAATTATATTTAATGACTAAACAATCATCACATCTAACAATTATATCATTTATCATGCACCAGCTACGCAGGTGCAGTTCTAGCAAGTACAAGTTCTTCATGTGCTTAGGATGTTTATTTTTCCAGGGCCTACTAATCTTAATTTTCCTTTTAACCCTAAATCTCCATTATTTAAAAACCCTTTTACTATCAGATTTGTCAGAGTTTTGCACTGCCAGACTTCCCTTCAGCAGCAGCCTCTGATCCAGCCCTGCCATCATCCTGCTCACTGACCCACGCCAGGGCTGCCCTTCACTGCCTGGGGCTTCCAAACCTGAAATTCTCATCTAGACCAAGAATCTCTAATGCAAGTTTTGTGTGCTTCAGTCATAGCAGATGGATCCTCTAAAGAATCATGAGCAGCCCTTAAAAAGAGGTCAGGACAACCCACCCTGAGCCCACAAAGACGCAGTGGGTTAAATGTGGAAATTAGATTTATTGTGGTGTCTCTTACATTACTCTCATTCGTCTTCTTTCCTAAAATAACTCACTTTCTAAGAAAAATAAGCTGTAAATAAGAGGATGTCAGCACAGTTAACAGAAATATTGGCTGTGATGAAGGCAAAGCAAAGGTTTGGCTGTTTTATCTACCAGCAGAAATGAACAATTTTCCCAGGTAAAAACCTCTGCCATGTTTTACAAAACAGTTAAAAACACCTTACCCCAAAAAATGAATCCCTGCTGAAGCCCAGCACCAGGAGTTTCATCCTTTGGGAATTTATCCCCTGAGTTTTCCTTCAGCCCTGGCTGCAGCCCTGCAAGAGGGGAGGCAGCCTGCCAAGCTGTGATTAGTGAGGAGAAGGAGCACGAAATCCTGATTGCAACGAGGGGCCTTTCAGATGAAGATTTCGATAATTTCAGCCAGTTAAAAGGTTAATTTAAACAGACTCAACTTTGGGACATTTTGGACAATTTCCCTCCTCATCCCTGGGTAAAAGGAGACAAAGCAAACCTGATTGCAAAACACTCAGCAGCACCTGCAGGTGCTTCTCATGTTAAAGGGATTTTAAGTGCTTTAGGGTAATAATGCTCAGTGTCAGTTTTGTTCTCTCATTTGCAGAGTGAGAGACAAGCAGATGTGATTGATCCAGCTGCATTCTGCTCTTCAGCTTCATCAGGGCCAAATACCCCTGGAATATCTTCCTCATCTCCCTGGAAGCTTCATAAATCTCATTGCCCTGTGCTGCTGGGGCTGAGGGATGGGTGAATTTGGCATTTTCAAACCCCACTGCTGCTGCTGACTGACCTCATTCCTGGACCAGAGAGAACTGAAGGATTTTGGAGGCTAGCAAGCTTTAATGATGATTTCACTGAGCTGTGGATGCTGTGGATGGATGGATATTGGGACAAATTGTTCTGCTAATGCCCAAAGCTCCTCAATTTGTGGCAGTACTTGCAGTCCAGTGTTGCTGCTTTCCAGACAAGGACAGAAAAAAGCCCCACAGCCAGACCCATTGCTTTAATTTTATCTATCAGTTAGGTCTAACTTCTGCCTTTCTAATTTTGTCCAAGGCTTTCCTGCTCTCTTCTTTCTGTGTGTGCAAGATGGTGTCCTATGGTTATAAAAATTCCATTTTCAGTGCTTTTATCTGCATTGGTTTTGCCAATAAATTCTAGGACAGAGAGAGGCTGGTTATTTGTTATGGTTTAGGGATAACAAAGAATCTGCTGCCCTCCAAAATGTTGCTCCTCAACAATAAAATAGGATTGAAATGTTCTTCAGGGTTAGAGACATTTCTTTTTTCCAGATGCTGCAGTTTGCAAAGTGAGGCAGCTGTTTTGGGTAATGTCAGACTACAGGGTGCCAATACAGAATAATTTCTGTCAGAACCAAAACTGCCTTGCTTTAGAAAGCAAAATAGATTTGGAAAGCTGCAATCTCCTGTCATCTTTTTCAATATTTTGTTGTCCTTTAAAAATACTTTAATATCTGGTTTGCCAAAACCAGAACACCCGTTTTTAATGACAAAAGGATTGAAGTTTCCAAAGGAGGTTGCAGGAGAAGGGGCATGCCTTGGTCACAGAGCTCTTTCCAGGAGGAAAATCCATCCTGGGCTATGGAAGACCCTGACTCTGTGCCCCTTTAGAGGGTGCTGCTGTTTCCCAGCTTTCAGAAGAGGATCCAGCTGCCCTCAGGAATGCTTTAGCCCCATCTCTGATTCCACAAACAATTCCTGGCTGTTTCAGACCTTCCAGCACATGCTGCAGTGCCAGCATTGCCAGGAGCCATTCCCTGCCTCAGCCCCTGGTTCTCTGACTCCTCTCATTTAAACCCACAAACTCTTCTAAGGTTTTGCTTCATGATCCACCTTTCAGCAGCCTGAAATTCAGGCAGTTTCTGGTGCCACCTTGTGTCACAGAGGAGCAGATCTGTGCAGCTCTCACCTCCTTGCATTGGAATAATGCGGCTTTAACTTCTTGACTGTGGGGTGCAGCATCAGAATTAACAAGGTGGGATCAGCAGGGAGATTCAGAGCGTGAGACTTCTGCATGAAATGAGTTTGAAGCAGTTGAAAAATTAATTAAATTATGAATTGGTGCTTTGGCTTTTCCTGGAATTGTTCAAGGCCAGGTTGGACAGGGCTTGGAGCAAGCTGGTATAGTGGAAGGTGGATGGAATGAGATGAGGTTTAAATTTCTTTTTCAGCCCGGGGGATTCTGTGATTCCATGATTTCCTTTATTGCTGCTTGCTGCTCACAGTGAGGAGCTCAGAGGAAATTGCTCGGGTAGATGAAGAATGGTTATTTTTGGAAACGTGTGGGCTGTCCCTTTCCTTGAGGCTGACCACGAACCACTGTCAAAGGCAGAAAGCTGCTGGAAACATTTTTGTTGTTCAAAATTCAGCAGCTGAGTAGTTTGTGCATTATCAATCAAGGGAATTACTAATAGCAAACAACAATTGCTAATTACTGATTTTCCTTATTTATGTACCAAGCTGCCACTGTGCTTTGCAAAGAAGTGAAGAATATTCTTCACAAAAAAACGAAGAATAAGAAAAGAAGCCAAAAAAATGACACTTCCATCAGTCAGACCTCGTGAACCAATTTCTTCATGATAATCAGATGCATTTTCTCTACCTGCAAGTTCATACTTTTATTTATTTTCCTTTTATGGATCCTCCCATTATACATTCAGAATACTGAATTAATTAAAAAATAAACTCATACCACCCCCAAAAACTTTAAACTCACATTTTATGGGAAAATATTTCTTTTATAGCATATCTGGTGAAACGTGGTAGAAGTTTAAATTTTCTTCATGAGTGAGGGTGCTGCAAAAATGGGCAGAATTTGTGCTGAACATCACTAGATGTCACCCTCGACCTGAATTTAGTTTCACAGAAGTTTTAATTTTAAATTACTATCTTCTGCTCTCATACTCCCCCCTCTTTTCCCCACCTTGCATTGATGCATCTTCCAGTTCAGTGCAGCACAAACTGTTGTGCATCAATTTTTTCCTTGCTTAAAACCAGAATTAAATTAGGCCAAATGGAAATTGCTGGAATTTGCAGTATTATCAATTTCTGTGCTAGATCAGCAGTGAGAAAACAAAAAAAGCAAAACCTCCTGGAACAGGTTTCTGTCTAATGTTGGATTTTGTTCAGATCTTGTTGGAATTTCCATCGTGGGAAATGAAGAGGAATGCTGAGGTCAAACCTCTATAAAGTCACGAGGAGCTTTGACTTCTTCTCTGTTTCAGCACCATTTCCACAGGGAAAAAAAAAAAAGAAAAAAAAAAGAAAAAAAAAAGAAAGGGCCCTTTTACAAAACAGGTTTAAGCAGTAATTTTCAGGTGAAGCGAGTTTTCAGGGCAAGGCTTTGTTTTTCAACTCTGAAATTCTTTGTGAGAGCATTCCGGCCCTGCTGGAACATTCATGCTTGAATGAGAGGCAAAAATGTGTTTATGAAGTTCATGCTGTGTTTATGTATTTATTGAAAGAATAATTTCATTCAGCTCTCATCTTTTAACCTGAAATAACTTATTTCATGATGTTTTTTCCTTGGCATGAAAAGGTCTAGGAAAATTCTTTAATGAAAAGAAAAAGAGAGTTTTGCCTATTAAACTGGTCATAGATTTAGGGTTGTTTTTTTTCCCTTAACTTCCACAAACAGCACAAAACAACAAATCCACGTGTGGTAATTTGATACTGGAAAACCCTTTGGGTTTAGAATTTCAGGGAGCAGGCAGGGGATTTGGTTTCTGGCTGGTGAAGTCACTCGCAGGGCTGTGAGAGAACAGAGACCAGGAGGTTGGAATGGATGCTCACACCTCGTGGCTGGAAGGAAGTTTGGGAAAAACTGTTCAGAAGCTCTGGGGGTAAATCTGAGAGAATCCAGTCTTTTTAGCCTAAAAAAACATAAGGTTTAAGGAGAGAACTGGGATTGTTCACATGGAGAAGCTTTGGGGTGACCTCATGGTGGCCTTGCAGTGCCTGAAGAGCTGTAGGAAAGATGGGGAGAGAGGATTTCCAAGGGATGGAGGGACAGGACACAGGGAATGGCTTCAAACTGACAGAGGGGAGGGTTTGATGGCATATTAGGAAAAAATTCCTCCCTGTAAAGGTGCTGAGGCCCCAGCACAGGGTGCCAGAGAAGCTGTGGGAAGTGTCCCAGGCCAGGCTGAACAGAGTTGATGTTTTTTACGGCAAAACTTGTATTGCTGGTTCAAAACATTCACCTCATGCCTTGTTCAGACAATGCACAAAGAGTTCTTGTTCTGCCAGGTTGGTTCCAAGCCCTTTTCCCCGTAATTTTCATCCTCACTGCAGGGTTTGTTCCAGCAGGGAATTCTCCCCTGTGCTTGCTGCAGCTCCTGATCCTGGCCTGTGTTGGAACCCATTCGCTGAGACCAAAGAAAAGGAAATTACACCAGAGCTTTTATTAGAGGAAAGTGTAATTAATGGCTTCAGATTAATTGAAAATGTTTGCTCCAAGAGTAGCAAGTGGGCTCTGCTCTGATTTGCTGCTCTCTCCCAGGTCTGTGGCCCTGCAGAACGTGCAAGGACCTGTCACATCTCTGCAGAGCCTTTGTGAGAGAAACCTGCCATTTCCCCATTCTGAAATGCACTGCTGTAATCATGCTACAAGGAGAACTTCCTTGGGATTCTTTAATTTCAAAAGAAAATCATAGTTCCTCAACGGCTGAGGATTCTAAGGGGGAATAGGCCAGTGCTAGAAATGTGATTCTGAGTGAATTTTATTTTAACCAAATGGCTTCAGATAGCTGTCAAAGAAACGTGCTTGCCATGAATCCTTTTTCTAGTCTAATGAAAAATTTCCATCTGCCACGCTGGACATAGAGCAGTCAGAATTAAGAGCATTGAAAGACAATCTTTTATTAAATATTTCTTTAGAAGACCTGGATTTAGTCAGGCCCTGTTGCATTATTGGCTGTGTTAAGCTAACAGTCCATCAAAGACTTACTTTTAATCAGTTCAAACGATTAAACCCTGTTTATATCAGCACGTATTGAGCTTCCATTTAATTTCCAGTGCCTCGAGTGACCTGGGAGAGTTCATTCCTGATCCTTTCTCTCCCACTTCTTGCTGCAGAGCTCTGGCACTGATGGATGGGATTTGTACCTGTGGGGGTGATCCAGTGGCACCTGCTCTACCCTGGCTGCCTCAGCTTCCTGTCTTGTTTCTATTAAAAAGCTGCTTTTAGAGCAGCAGAGGAAGGAGACCCGTCATCAACCCCAAACGTTTTCAATTCCTGTTGCTTCTTAAAAACTCTGCTTTGCATTGACGTTTCGGAGCTTTTGATTTTCTCCTCTGCCTCTGCTCGGAGGAGAAGAACTTTCAAAATGTGAAGAGTTCACCTTCCAGATGTGTCTCTTCAGAATTTTCAGTCTCCACATTGATCCTGACATGGGTTTGTGGTGTTGCAGGAGTCACCACAGAAAGGTGGGGAAAAAAAGTGAGTTTTCCCTGCAGCTGCTGAATGATTTCTGCAGGGCTGGGGTTTGATTTCAGGAGTGCTTTGCTGGTATTTCCCCCTCCTAATCAGCAAAGAGAAAGTTTAAAATGCTGTTTGTCTTTGGAGGAATCTTGTACATTAAGCTGCAGGTGCTCCCACCCAATGTGCAGTTTGGAGATGTGTTAAAATTGCTGCTGTGCATAAAAACACTGCTGGGAACATTCAGCATTGTGTTTGTAGCTCCTCAGGCAAAATTCCTCACATTTAGCATGGAATTTATTTGGGAACTGACATATTTGGGCGTTCAGACAAATGCTCATAATAAATAGTAATAAATCATAATTTCAGTATTCAGGGCTCGATGATTTCAGGAAGGCGCTGGAACATAAATATCAGTTCGGGAAAAGCAAACAAACAACTTCTTTTTTTTTTTTTTTTGGTCTTTCTACAGAGCTGCCATAAGGAAGCAAAGCATCATTATTGTTCCTTTCAGTTCTCAGCATAAAAGGAAGTAACACTTAATGAAAGCCATTGGCTGCAAGATTTCATAAGAGAGAGAGGCAGAGAGAGAGAAGGAGCAGCATGCTGTGGGGAAGCAGGTGTGATTCATGAATAAACTGCTCTTTGCCACCCTGTAGGATACTGATGAAACAAATAGAATTTCCCCAGACATGGATAATACAAGAACAGCAGACACTTTTTCACAGGTAAAGGCAGAATGTGTTATGGCTGGTGTGGAAGTGCTGCTTGCTGTGCATAGCTGAGGTGGTTTATCAGAAACTGGGGATGATTTTGTGCTTTACTGGCAATGAATTTGCAGTAGGGTTTGGTGTAATGGACTATTACGTGATGTGAGCTCAGCCTGCTCTCATATATCACAGAGTGTTTGCAGAAGGTGTGCAGGAGACAATATTTTTCTGTGCTTTATTCTTGAGAAAGTTGAAATGTGCAAAGTTTTCCTGATACAAGGGGAGAAAATCAGTCTTTCTCTTGCCACCCTAGAGAGGATTTATTAACACTTTATATTATCTGTGCTAAAAATTTCCATAAAGTAATTGGAGGGGAGAAAAAGTGCTTTATGTTACAGCAGTCTTTTGCTAATCCTGCTGGAATCTGAGGTGATTGATATGCCAGGACTGAGCTTATATCAGCAATGTGGATTTGTCTGAGTGCCTGCCACACACAGGGACTTGGAGCATCCTGCTTGTTTCAATATTGGATCTGGTACCTGGAGAATTGAGTCCTGGGAAGCTCCTCTGTGCCTGGGACAGCTGATGGGATTGGCAGAGGGAAAGAGGAGTCAGGGAAAAGAGGAACCAGGGAAAAGAGCAATTAGGGAAAAGAAGAACCAGGGAAAAGAGCAATTAGGGAAAAGAAGAACCAGGGAAAAGAGGAATCAGGGAAAAGAGCAATTAGGGAAAAGAAGAATCATGGAAAAGAAGAATCAGGGAAAGGAGCAATCAGGGAAAAGAAGCATTGTGTTGTGTGCAGGTCTGAGTTCTCCTGGCTGGCCAAGGGTGAGGGCTGGGGGGATCCAGCCCTGCTTGCTTGGCTCCCCTGTTCCTCAAGTGTGAGAGATTTGCTGGGCCAGGCTCTGGCAAACCCCAGAGCAATCCCACAAACGAGGAGGAAAACCTATTTATGGCTTTCTGGTTTGTCACAGGGGAAGAGGGCAGGGGCTGCCCTTTCACATTTTGAAAGCTCTTCTCCTCCAAGCAGAGGCAGAGGGGAAAATCAAAAGTGCAGGAGCAGGGATGCGTGAGCCAAAGGCTGAATTCCTGAGCTTGCCACACACCTGAAGTGCCATAAAATCGCAGCTCCCACCTGGCAGTGCTGGAAGGAGATGCTGAGGTGCTGCCATTGCTTTGGAGGAGCTGTTGGGGTTGGGAAGGCACAAGCCCAGCCCTGCAGCATCCCCCTTTCCCTGCTGCCCTGGCTCAGGTGTTCATGGCTTGGCACAGGAATTCTCCCCTTCCCTCTTGCGCTGCTGGGGAGGTGGAAATAATCCAATGTTTCCTACCAGAGAGGGCTTTACTGAATGAGAACCAACAGGAAACCATGGCCAGGTGGTGCCACTTGTCACTGAGCGTCACCCCCCAGGCCTGCAGGACAGCACATGCACAGAGCTCAGCTTGTAGGAGCACCAAAATACCCACAAAGACAATCTGGGCCTGAGAAAAACGGATTTTAAACTTCTTGTGAACTCCTTTTGAAAGCTGGTTTTATATCTTCCTGAGGCTTTTCATCTGAGAGCTGATAAGATCATGGTGCAAGGTCAGACCCTTGTGCTTTTCCACCCTGCCTTACTTTAATCAACTGCTTTAAAGCACTTTATCCCCACGGATTTCCCCTACAATTTTCATTAGACTTTTTCTTAAAGGCCACCTCTCTTAGGTGATTGATTTTTTTCCCTATTTTTTTTTTTTTAATTTCCCAGGTCCTTTCTAAGGTAGCTTAAGTGGATTTTCACAGTATACTTACCAAGGGATCAATTCTATTTAAATGAGGCCAAATGAGTCCATATTTTCTGATATGTGTATTCATGAATGTGCACCTGAGGCACAGGGGTGAAGCACGTGAGGTGTCCTCATCATCACCCAAAGTTAAATTTCCTGCTCCTGAGCCATTTGGAGCTCCATGTGTCCTGTTCCAGTCTCAATATTGCCCAAATTCCTTTGAGATTTTTATGTTGTCACAATCACCTCATACCTTTATGCCTTGTAATTAAGAAATAAATTACAATAAAATATCTTTGGGTTCTTCCAGCTCCTTCTGGAAGTGGCAGAATGAATATTCCCAATATTCATTCTCCTGGGAGCACAGTGAATATTCCCAAGCCTTTTCTTGAACAGAAATTATTTTCTGACTTTAAGTCCCAGCTTAAATAGATGTCCAGGTAGCTGATCCTGAGGAATCTAAAACGTGGTGCATTTTTATAGGCAAGTGTTGAGAACAGAACAAAACCATTTGTACAGACAAGGATCACATCCTGCTGAATCTGTCAGGGTTCAGGACAAGGAGAAATTTACCTCAATATTTTGCTGGGATGATTTATTAACAACCCAGAATCCTGAGAAAGGAAAAGCCAGGTCAGAAATCAGCAGATGGATGCTCGTTGGGGTTCTTCTTTTTTTTTTTTTTTTTGCAAGCTCTTATCCATGTTTTGATTAGAACATAATGAAGGGTTTGTTCATTAAATATTCCAGCTAATTAATGTGAAACGTCTGGAGCCCCTGAATGCTCAGTTAAACGTGCCTGAAATCAGTGCTGCTTTCTCTCTGTCACACTGCATACCTTGTGCTTAGCAGGTGTTAATGTGATTTAATAAACCTCCATCAGAACAAAATCTCTTGTTCAGCATTTAGTAACTTTAGCAGCCCAGAATTAATCTTTCTTTTACAAAACATGAGGGCACAAGGTGAGATTGTGAGCAGAAGGATGAATGTTTTTCTCAAAAAAAAAATCAGATGTGGCTGTTAAGTACCCCAGAAATCTTTGTTTCATCACAAAATTAATCTGACCCTCACATTAATAAGCAAATATGATAATCCTTGATACTTCTTATTACTGTGGGTTATTTTAATTACCATCACTAAAGGCACAGAATGCTATTTTTTAGTGGCAAACTGAAATGCTCCTGTATGAGCCACCTTCTTTATTCTATTTTCAGTCCATTCTGTAGCAGAGCATTTAAACTGTACCTCAGTACACCAAGAAATTGCTGGGTAAGTTCACACTGATGGATTGTTTTCAAATCAAGCCTAATTTAAAATATTCAGGTGGTAATGAGGCTGGTTCTGATAAAGCAGCACATGGTGCCTGAAGGAGATTTCCAGGAAATATCTCTGCCTTGGAAATAAAAGCTCACAGGCTGGATGGAGCTTTCCAACATTTTTAAACCTCTGCCTGTCCTTTTCCCCTGGAAAAGTAGTGGAACCTTCATTTATTTGCAGGTTTTCACTAAGCTAAAGTGTAAAACAAGGTTAGATATGGGCCAAAGCATTTGTTTAATTCTTCTTAAGGATGTTTAGTGGTGGGAGATTCCATAATTTTCCCTGGATGGCTCAATGTTATCCTTATATTTTCCAAACATCTCAGCAGAACCTCTTTTGCTGTAATTTCTCTCTTTTACTGTATAATTTCTCTCTTTTGCTGGAATTTCTCTATTACTGGAATTTCTTTCTTTTGCTGAATTTTCTCTCTTTTGATGGAATGTCTCTCTTTTGCAGGAACTTCTCTTGTATTTCTCCTTACCCCTCCACCTCCTGCTCCTTCCCTTTTGGCAGCAGCTCTTTATGAACCCCTGCCTGCCCCAGGCTCTGAAATCCCAATCCTTCCCTTGGAAATCCCGTTTTTTTCTACAGCTCTGATTACTCTCATTATCCTGAGCTGGACTCATCCAGCTCTTTTCATGGAAGCATGGAAATCTTCCCCCCAGTTCCAGCAGGATCCTCTGTCAGTGCTGAGCACTTTTATTTCAGTGTTTTGCTGCTGTCTGGGATCTCCCCGAGGGAAATTCCCTTTTATTGCAACAGCACCATGGTGGGAGCTGCTGTCACTCTGCAAGCTGCTCCAACTTCTGGGCTTTTTCTGCAAAAAAAATGTTCTTCAGCCACTACTTGTGAAGCTGGCAGCTCCTGCTGAACATCCAGATTTTTTTTTTTCCCCTCTGCTTGCTGAATTATAGATTATTGCTGCTCTCATTTGTCAAGGTTGTCTGGAATTTGAATCCCCTTGCAGTTCTCTCCAGCTGCCCATCAAAATCTACAAATTTAATAAACACAATCTCCAGTCCTTCAGCAGATCACTGATGAAACAGTGAAGAGCACAAAACTACATCAGTCTCCTGTGCAAGCAGCATCACTCAATTTATCCTGAATTTGCACAGGGAAATTACTTTCCAAGTGTCATTTCCTGACAGTTCTCGGAGCTGATGGAGCAGGAGGCTCCGTGTTGGTGACTGAGGGAAAATCTGAAGTGTCAAAGACCTCCAAAATGTCATTTTTTCAGAGGGAAATTTAAGAAATGTCAAGGCTGTGAGATTCCTCAGTATGGTGATATTTTCAATATTGAAAATAGTTTAATTTGTTGGTACTATAACTGTGCTATGGACACATCACTGGGCACCAGTTTATATCTTCATGGTTTTGAGAACTATTCTCAGAGATTTTTATGTTGTTGCAATCAATCACGCCATACCCTTACACCAATAAGAAATAAATTACAATAAAATATCTTTGGGTTCCTCCAGCTCCTTCTGGAAGTGGCAGAATTTCCAATGTTTTCAAGGAAATCCAGCTCCTGTTTGATGAATCCCTTCTTCTTTGAATAAATGTTGACAGATACTATTCAGCCAGATATGGATCTGCAAAAATAATGCAGAATTTATTACAGGTGGATAATTTATTTGATGAATAGCAGCTCTTTTTGACAAATAATATTAGTCTGTCTCTAGGCCACATAAAAATACTACATCAGTCACCTGGTTTGAGATTTTATGTAAATTGAAACTGAAGATACCCCAGTTCCAGGAGAAAACTGCCCTGGAAATGTTTGGGAGCACTCAGGACGTTTTGGGCCGAGTTCAAACCTGGTGAAAATTAATAAATTAGGAGAGGGAAGTTGATAACACCAAGCTGGAGCTTTAAGGCAATCCAGATTGTGTCTGTTGTTCTGAAAACCATTTAAATGACACATTCAGCATGCTGGCAGAGTGACGTTCAGTCAGATTTATGCCTCAAAATTAATCAATTATCTGTAAAGCAGCAATTAGCCCTGGCCTGATCCTTTCCTCCTGGGCTGAGCCCCTTTTCCTGGGAGCACAGAAGTACCAGGAGGTGCTGTGGAGGGCAGAGGATTTTGGAACAAACCCTCCCAGCCCCACCTTCCCTCTGCATCCTGCACAGCCAGGAGCTGCTGTTCAATGTTTGATCAGGACAAGTGGAAGGATTGCTTAACAATGAAAAGCCTGACTAGAACGGAATGAAAACCTCTCCTGCTCGGTGAAGGGAGCAGGATTTCTGCATGACTGGGCTTGGTTGTCTCAGGAGATGACAGAGCTGGGGGGGTGAGCTGTGATCTCCCCCTTGGGATGATGTCTGACCCCGTCACACCAAAAAAACGGAAATTATTTTCCCTTTTCTTTCCTCCCCACTGGTTTGGATTGAACCCTTAGGAGTTCGTAAATTTATGTGGCACTGGGCAAACAATAAATTAACAACAACTGATGGTTAATTATTTAATACAATAATATTCTAATATCAAAAGTACTATTTATTATTAATTTGGCTGTGTTTGTGACAATTGTGTGGGGCTGGGGAGCCACCTTTCCTGCTCTGTGTCTCCACGGTGCATGTGCACACATCCCAGGAGCATCTCTGCTCTGCTCCCATCCTGTGGGACTCAGGGAGGGTGGAATGAGAGGGAGAAGAACCAGCTGAGCTAAAGCCACAGTTGGCTCAAATTCCTGTGGAATTTGGGAAAGGGATTGTGCCTTGGAGAAGCTCAGGAGGTGCAAGGAGCCAGAGCCACCTGTGGGGAGGGTGAGAGTCAGAGAGAAGCACCAGAGGAGCAGATTTGGAGTTCCAGCCCTGAGCAGTGCCCCGTGTCCCTCTGCCCTGCTCCAGAGCCACCTGGGGGATGTAGGGTTCATCCCTTTTCCTCCACGGGGTCTTGGCAGGTCTGGGATTATCCCAGAGATATTTCTACAGTGCCTGGACTCCGTGCAAACCCTCCAGAGGGTCCTTTTAGGGAAATGGGGAGAGGCAGGAAGGCCTGGCAGGGCACGTTGGCAGCTGCCCCAGGGCAGAAATCTCCTCTCTCCCCAATAAACACAATTTATACCAGACCAGAAATATAAAAAGCTCACCTCTCCTTCCAGAGAATGTCTGGAGCCCCACGCTCTTCCTTCAATTGTGAATTCTTTCAAATCATTTGCGTGGCTCTACTGAAACTGGGGAGGGTGATGAAAATTTAATCTGTTTTAAACCAGCTCTGTAACCTGGCAGGTAAGTGAGTGCATTATTAACACAATCTCAAGTATTTCCTTAATGTGCCTGCTTTGTAATAGAAGAATTTAATTTTTTTTCCTAAGTTTTGTTATTCAGTCTTGTATAAAACATTCAGTTTGGTTGCTCCAGTCACATTTTATTAGGCAATATAACACAAACTGACTTAGTGGCATTTTGGTGGATAATATGAAAAATTTTATTTCCTTTAAAGAAAAATGTAACCAAAACAAGCACGTTACAAAGATTGTGTCATGCCGAGAGAAAAGCTCCAGAGACACAAAACGATAAAGGTCAGGGTCTAATACAGAAGTCTTATTTGCAAGTAAAAATACCATGAAATGTGATTGTCAACAAGCTAAGAGAGCCAGACAGACTTCTGACAAATAATTGTGACAGGTCTCATGAGCTGAAAAATGCCTTTTTTTCCTCTCTTGGCTTTGGAAATGTTCCCCTCCTGCTTCCAGATGTGCAGAGGCTTAAGAGAGGTGTAAAATACCGAGGTGCTGTTAAAAATAACCTGCCCCAAGCAGTGCCTTTTGTGTGCTCCTGGGGATGGATTCTCTGTCAGGGCTCTGACTCCCTAACAAACCTTCCTGGATTTAAATACACAGAATGATTTGTTTCTCTTTTGTAAACGTTTTTTCCCTCATCCATTATTAAGCAAATTAAGAAATGTTCCTTGTTGTTTTCACGTCTTGGGCAGAAATCCATTTGAGTCTAAAAGAGACTTTGGTCAAGGTAAGGAGAAAGAAGAATTGAGTACTGAGTTGAATGTTTTTCTTTCTAAAAAGAAAAGATCTTAAGATATTAAATTTGGAAAAAAAAAAAAAGAAAAAGAAATTAAAATTGTCATCGTGCTGCAAAAATTCTTTGAACCTTTCTCCAAAAGGCCTAACAGGCAAAAATACTTCCTGAGCTCATCTCAGGAGCTGCTATCCTGAATAAATAGGCTGCTGCACTTTGGAGCTGGCAGAGCTTTGCCTCAAGGTAACTCTATTTTCCAGTTCAAACAGATCCATATTGCTGTTTACTCACACCGAGCCTGTTCGGTGGGGAATTGTCTTGTTAAGATCTAATCCCACCCAGTGCCTGTGAGGTGTGAATATGTGGCCATTTAAAATTCCAGCAGCGAGCAGGGAGGTCATGGTGGGAACCTTCTGTGAATGAATTATCAGGCAGCTTTCCCTCCTTCCCCACTCTTCCCATTTCTGGGCCCTAAATTACTTTTCTATTAGCATTGAAACTTCCAGGCTTTCAAAATCAGAATATTTCTCTTGCTCTGGGTTTCATTTAGAGGCTGGAAAACGTGCAGAGAGTGTGTGTGTCTCCCAGGGAGTGGCTGAGCTGGCAGAAATTTGGTGAAATGGAGTTTTGGGTGCAGTGTGGTTTGGGAAAACGGGGCCTGGGGGTTTGCTGGGCCTCTGGTGGTTTTTATGGGGTGATTCAGCTGGGGCTGGGCTGGCTGGAGGTGGCCAGGGAAGGGCTGGACATGGTGGGGATCGATCACAGCCTGCACACAATGGCCTGGACGGCTTTTCCAGCCTCAGGGACCCTGTGTGGCTCCTTGTGCTGCATTGCTGGGTGCTCAGCAGAGGAGCTGCTCTGTTTGGGGTGGGAGAAGCAGGGCAGGTCCTCAACAGCTCCAGCTGCAGGGGAGCCCCCTTCCCAACCCTCATTCCTCCTTCCCAACCCTCATTCCTCCTTCCCAACCCTCCTGCCCCCTTCCCAACCCTCATTCCTCCTTCCCAACCCTCATTCCTCCTTCCCAACCCTCATTCCTCCTTCCCAACCCTCCTGTCCCCTTCCCAACCCTCATTCCTCCTTCCCAACCCTCATTCCTCCTTCCCAACCCTCATTCCTCCTTCCCAACCCTCATGACCCCTTCCATGTCCCTTCCCAACCCTCGTTCCTCCTTCCCAACCCTCGTTCCTCCTTCCCAACCCTCGTTCCTCCTTCCCAACCCTCATTCCTCCTTCCCAACCCTCCTGCCCCCTTCCCAACCCTTTTGGCCCCTTCCCAACCCTCCTGCCCTTCCCTCTGCTCCTGCACAGCCTGTGCTGGGCTCTGCACCTGGGGGTCCACCTGGAGAGTTTGAAAAGAACATTTGGAAACCATTGGAACCTCCCCTGATGGTGCAGCTGTTCTCAGGGCACAGGAAACCATTTGGATAAAAAATTGGCAGGTTCCTGAGCTGTGTTGGGGTCTCAATGCTGTGCTGACCCCAAGATTGTAAAAATCTTTGTTCCCTAGCCTGTGTAGCTGAAGGAGGAGTCTGGAATGTTTTGGATCACATTTTCAAGGCTGTTTATTTTTATTTATCTATAACATTCTTTCTCTGACCTGCTGAGTTTTGGTTAGTAAGGAGGTTATGGCATTTTGCTTCAAGCCTTGGGCAGCTCTTACATTATAGACTTAAAACGATGTGTAGTATGTTTACAATTTTGTGCTAATACCTATTATCTTTGTTAGACAGTGAGTCTCTACCTTAAACCAATAGAAAAGTGCCACCATCACACCAAGACGTGGAGGACAAGACAAAGGAGAAGGCCAGGACACGCCCAAATCCCTCCATCTTGTACCTCTTGAGCCCTATTCTAAAAATCTTAAAATTCTACTTTTTCCACTCTGTGTTAATTCAGCTACTACACTACTCAAACCCTTGTGGCTTGTAATTCTTCATACAAAGTTGGCAGCTTTTTCCACGGGTTAAAATCGAAGTTCCAGGTGTTTTTGATTTCTTGCTAAGGTCTTTGAGCTCCTTGCTAAGGTTTTGAGACAGCCAGGGATGTGCTGGGCTCTGCCAGAGCTGTGCTGGTAGAAGCTCCAGGCTCCTTCCAAGCTCCATCCCTGCTGAGGAGTGCCTGTCTCACACTCCTCTGTCCCAAAGGATTGGGTTTTTTCCCCCCACAAAGCCCATGGCACTGCCTTGCCAGCGGTGTCACAGCTGCCCTGCTGTGTCCCTGCTGCCTCCCCTCGCCTTTCTCCTGTGCTTGGTTCCTGTTTGCCATCACAGCCACACCTCAGGGGCGACAGAAATTCAGTGCTGCACTCAGCAGTGACAGAAATTCGTGTGTGAGTTCATTGGCAGCTCAAGCTGCTGTTTTGGGGAGAGAAAAAGGGGAAGTGGAACTCTGGCTTTTCATGTGCTCCACTGAGTCCCCATGGCAGCTGCACCTCCCCGTACCAACAGCAGTTTGCCCCTCTTCACCCTCAACATTTCAAATGCTCCTGATTTTTCTTTCATGTTGTCCTGTGTGCAGGGCTTTACTCTCAGGATGAGACAGACTGCCATGCAAAATTGATGTTTTCACTTCTTGCCAGGGTTTCTAACTCCAAAGGGCTTCCCCCTGGCAGTTCTATCTCCAGATAGTGCCACCACATCTTCTGAAGTTGTAAAAGCCCCTCTATATTTGATACCTTGTGGACTTTGACCAGGTTTCAAAGGGAGATTATATTTTCTGGGCAGGTGGTCAGTAGAACATAAAATATGAGTGAAATTGTAATTTTATGGCAGCTACCATGGCTGTGTCACGAGCACTCTGAATCCTCCACAGCCAGATGAAAAACCAATCTCTAAAAACATTTGATTGACTTTTTTTTTTTTTTTTTCCTCTAGTTAAGCCAGGAAAAAATCCTCAAAATTATGAACATGGTGAAAAATAAAGAAGTGAGCATTGAAGGAGCTCTGCATCTGGCACAGAAGGAGGTGTATGCTGAAAAGGTAAGGCTGCTCTTTGATGTATTTTGTAATATATTCAGATGTTGTGGAGAGCTCTGCTGAGGTGAGGGGGTGTCTGGATTGCTCTCAAGGATGCCATCCTGGTTTGGGAATCTCAAAGAGCTCAGTTCCCAACCAAACAGGGCAGGTGGGACTGGCTGGAGCTGCCTGTGTCCTGTGGGATGGCTGCTCCATGGAAATGCTACACTGGTGGCATTTCCTGGATTGAGGAGCTCAAAACTATGCAAGGCTTGTTATTCCAAGGGGAGCAACAAGTCCTGGATTAGTAAATGTGAGGCATTTATTATTAAACCTAATCCCAGAATAGTTTGGGTGGGAAGGGACCTTAAAGCTCATCCTGTTCCACCTTTCTGCACCTCCCACTGCCCAGATGCTCCAAGCCCTGGCCAGTCTGGCCTGGAACATTTCCAGGGCTCCAGGGGCAGCCACAGCTTCTCTGGACAGCCTGTGCCACCCTCACAGGGAGGGATTTCCTGCCAACATCCCATCTAAGCCTCCTCAACTTCAGTCTGAAGCCATTCCCTGTGTCCTGGCTCTAAATCCTCTCTCTCCATCTTTCCCGCAGCTCCTTCAGGCACTGCAAGGCTTCTCTTCTCCAGGGCCTCACCACCCTCAGAACAAAGAATTTCTTCCTCATATTGAATCCAGACTCACACTCTGTCAGTGAGAAGCCATTCCCCCTTGTCCTGTCCCTGCCCTCGGGAATAATGTCCCTCCCCACCTTCATTAACATGATTAACAAAAGTCAGGAGGATTTTTCCATCTGTCTCCATGTGGAATTCTCCTGCAGGGCTCCAGTGTTGTTTCTGCTCCCAGAGGGAGATTTCACCTGAGAACAGCTGGATTTGGGTGACCAAATATTATCCCAGCGTGGGATGTGCTGCTGATTTCTGTTCTGTTTTCCAGGATCCACAGGATTTGTTAACTGGGTCCCAATTTAACTTCATTATCTACAAATACAAACACTACCGGTGGCAGAAACGGATCCTGCAGGTATCTTTACAAATTCCCACTTTTGGTGCAGTGTATGAAAATATAATAAAGCCAGCTTCTGTCAACAACACCTGCTGGTGATTTCCTGCTTTCATGAAGTCAGGGACAAAGGTTTCTTGTTTTTTCCCTGGATTTCACTAAAACTTCTTGTAGTTTGGATGACATTTGATAATCAACAAGTCCAAATCACGCATGTTACAGGGTGGTTTTTATTTGCTACGTCTTAACTGTACAAAACGTAATTTTCCCAGCATTATCCACCATTTTTTGGAATGAAAAGATAATTTGTTTGAGCATAAAGTGGAAAAATGGAGAGACATGTCGTAGGTGTGGACAGGGGCCTAAGAAAGATCACGAGAAACTCAATGTCGATGTATACAATAGAACAATATAAGTTTAATTATTAAAATGTAAGTTATATAAGGATAGAATATAAAATATGTTCAGCTCGAAAGCCGTGTGGGAGTCAGATTTGGGTCTGTACCCCTGATTCCCAGAGCTCTCAACAAAAGCACCTGCAGATAATCATATCTGTGATTTTGTGTGTTCCTGAACTCTAACAGAATGTGATTTTTCAATCCTATTTATTCTGCTCTTTTATCTAAACACCTTCACGTGGCAAAATTGTGATTCTGCCCAACGATGGCCTCGAGTGACACAGAACTTTCTTTTGCAGCTTGATTTCAACACCAGGACCATTTTTAACATCGAGAAGGGGACGATTAAGAAGCAGTTCCCTTTCTCCCAGGTGAAAGGCTGCGAGGATTCGGAGAGGAGGCGCTTCAGCCTGCTGTTCCACGGGAGGCAGGACTACGAGCTGGAGGCCGTGTCCCTGGAGGACAAGAGGAAGGTGAGTTTGGCACAGGCACTGCTCTTGAAACGTAAATTTTGAGATTTTTGAGGAGCTAAGATTTTAGTTAGAGATAAGCCTTACTAGAGTTAATTAAAATAAATGAGTAGGCCTTGATGAAGTTAAGAGTTAGGAGTTAACTAATAATTGATTGCTTGTCAGCACAATGTTGAGTTAGCTGGGTTTATAATGAAGAATACACAAACTGACAAAGAGCTTTTAGAACATAAGACAATTGTGGCCTCCTCTGTTCTGAAACCAACTGAAGACAAGGAATGGGAGTTCTACCAAGAGTTCATTTGTCATATTGGCATTGAAAAGGTAGAAAGGTCAGAACGAGGAAGACTTCATTGACTTCCTCATTTTGGGACCCCTCCCATGAAAGGGACACTGACCCATTTCAAGGAACAAACCTCACATGCTGAATGGCTTTTGAAATAATTAGCATACAAAGCGAGGAATGGGATGTACCAAAATGATAAATATGCATTTGTATTTGGGGTATTCAACACTTGTATGGATAAAAGGACTCTGTAATCACCTGGAAGTTGCGGTGTGGATTTGGGAGCGATCCCACAGACAGTAAATACACACTTTCTAGCTTTAAATTATTAGAGAGTTTTTGTCCATCACAGTTGGATATCAGAACTAGATCAATATCCATATTTTTTTAATAAATCACTCTGAGTCCCAGCTGGGATGGTGGCACCCAGCAGGTCCCAGGCACTCTGCAGGCAGAGGAGGAGGGGTGGATTTGCTCTCGTGGGACATGGAACAAAGGGAAATTGTCATATTGGACATGAAATGGGCACACAGAAGCTTGGTGAGTTAGAGAAAGAAAAAGGGCTGATTTTATTTCTGACCACGCAATATGTAGAATTTCAAAAGTGACAGTGGATTGGAGGGTGAAATCCAACCACACTGATCAAACCACCTCTACAACCACCTGGTCAAACCAACATTCCATCAATTCTCTCCTCCCACAGAGAAGAATGCAAAACAATCATTATTAACATGAACAATGTGTGAAAACTCCAGTAAAATATATAAACAGTATCAGAAGGCTAAAAAAGTTTTATGAGAACTTTAAAACTTTCAGAAGAATTATAAAAGAAAAACTTTTAAAAATCAAAACAACAGGAATGGGAGCTCAGGGTGGAGTTTGGCCTCGGGATTTTGGCACAGTTTGGAGGAGCTGTGAAGCCAGCTCAGGATGAGATGGGAGAGTGGGGGCAGCTCTGGGAGTGTTAAACAAGCAAACAAAGCTGGTGATGTGCACAGCTGAGTCCTCATTGGAGCTTTCCAAGCACTTTTTGTCCTCTGTATAAGATATTTCATAAAATGCCCCATTTTAAGGATGAATGAGGATGGTCCTCATGCTGAGAGAAGACCCAGCAGTTCATCTTTGAGCATTGTCTGAGGTTTTCAGCTGAATCAATCAAGTGCTGCTTGGGCTTGAACTGAGCTGAACAGAAACTTTGTCCTGGACTGCTTTGTATATGAATTAAAAAGTTCTGTTTTACAGTAACCCCTTCAGAGAAAAATTATATTCTCCTTTGACTGACAGCTTTAAAACTGTGGGCATAAAACCAAATTGCAGTTAAGGAGTTTTGCATCATAGAAAGACCTGGGTTATTTTATGTTGATTTATTTTACCCATTTGACTGTGGCTTTGTACTTGTAAAACCCAACTGTTGATGTCTTATTCAAGGGAATTTACATGGAAAATAGGTTTTTCTCTGCTGCCACTTATTATCTAGATAATCTACCTGCTGAGCAGAGTTATACAGAGCAATTCTTACAAGAGACCAGTGGAGTCCTGGCCCGGGAGAGCTGCAGAATGTGATGTGATCCATGAAGGGCTGCTGGATTTGCAGCAGAACACTTTAACCTCCACTGAATGGGTGAAGTATGAGCTCTGGATTTTGTTAAAACTTCTGATAGATGCATTTAGATTTGATTGTGCTGATGGTAACTTTATTATTTAGTTTTTTGTTTTTTTTTTTTTAACTGCAAAGGTAGATGCCCAATCTGCATGAGATGGAAGCACTGCAATGAGCTGTCAGGGCAGTAGTGGCACCCAAAAAACCAAAATTGTGATCTGGAGCCTGCTGGGAGCACTGGCAGCACAAATCTAATAATGGTGATGGTGCTCAGAACAATTTTGATGCTGGGACTTTGTTTCTCTCTTGACTTTTCCCTCCATTCTCAGTAATCCAGTGGTTTTCCATGGTTTGCTCCCCATTCTGCAAACAAACCGGAGACAGCTCCTAAAACACCTGGAAATTTCTTAAACCATCAAAGGAGAGAAAGAGAGAGGAAAAAAAATCCTGTCTAGTTAATGAAAAAAAAATTCACATTGTAATTATCTGCACAGGGCAATTATCTCAAAAGACTTCACAGTTCACAGAAAATTATTTTAATTGCTTTGAAAAGGCTGCCACTATATGTGTTGTAAACACTATCCTCCAGTGTGTCCAGGATTTGTTACCTTGCAACACTGAACAGGTTTGTTAACAAACAAAAATTGATTTCTATTTATCTTGTGAAGCAAAGCCTTTGTTGTTTGCTTCTTGATATTAATCCTCCTCTTCCTCGGAGTAAATGGAGAGGGAGGGACAGAGCATGGCTAAAAAAAATTAACAGGACTTGGGTGATTTTTAATTGATGGTCAGATTTAATTTTAGCTCTCACTGGGCATGGCAGGCTGTTCAGATTTTATGTCACACTTTATTTAGGTGTCAGATGAAAACGAAAAACTCTCAGATAAGAACATCTCAAAGCTTTTATGCCCTGCTCTTGGTATTTTTGGCTGTTCCATGGAGGATGCTGTAAAAACATGGAGATTTATTGACATTGGAAGGTGCTGTAACAAAGGGCAGGCTGTGTGAAGAGGACACGATGAGGAGTGAGCTGTGTATCCCTGCCTTGTCCCTCAGGTGCCTGGCAGAGCTGCGGGAAGGAGAACTGGCCCTGTACAGCCTCAGTTGCTGCCTGGGCAGCAGGAATCCTGCAGCCACAATTGCTCTGGTGGCTGGGAGCGTGGGGGTCAGCAGGGACAGCAGCAGCACCTTCTCCCTGCACACCAGAGACCACCGCTACCTGTGAGTGAAACACACATTTTATGGAATTTAGGGATTTTAGAGCAGCTAAGATTTTAGTTTGAGATAAGCCTTACTCGAGTTAAATAAAATAAATGAGTAGGCCTTGATGAAGTTAAGAGTTAGTAGTTAACTAATAATTGATTGCTTGTCAGCACAATGTTGAGTTAGCTGGGTTTATAATGAAGAATACACAAACTGACAAAGAGCTTTTAGGAACATCAGACAATTGTGGGGCTCCTGTGTTCTGAAACCAACTCAAGACAAGGAATGGGAGTTCTACCAAGAGTTCATTTGTCATATTTGCATTGAAAAGGTAGAAAGGTCAGAAGGAGGAAGACTTCATTGACTTCCTCATTTTGGGACCCCTCCCCATGGAAGGGACACCGACCCATTTCAAGGGACAAACCTCACATGCTGAATGGCTTTTGGAATGATCAGCATACAAATCAAGGAATGGGATGTACCAAAATGATGAATATGGATTTCTATTTTGGGTATTCAACACTTGTATGGATAAAAGGGCTCTGTAATCACCTGGAAGCTGCGGTGTGGATTTGGGAGCGATCCCACACACAATAAACATACACTTTCTAACTTTTAACTGTTAGAGAGTTTTTGTCCATCACAGTTGGATATCGGTACTAGATCAATATCCTGATTTTTTTAATAAATCATGAGTACAGCTGCTTGCTCCTCATCTGGGGAAGCAGAGGTGCTGCAAACAGGCTCGGGCAGGATCTGAGTGTCCCAGAGTGAAACAACAGCCCTGGAGAAATGAGGCCCCCAGAATGACACAGATTCCCCCTCCCATCGCTCTGCAGAGATCTGGTGAGGGTTCTCAGGAGGAATCCAAGGTGGGACTGAGCTGGTACATTGAAATCCTGCCCAGAGCAGCTGCTGGGACAGGAGGAGATGCCTCATGCAGCTGCTGGGACAGATGTGAGCAGGTTCTGAGTGCCTGTTCCCCCAGCCAGGTGTAACACACTGCTCCCTGCCAAGGGGGAGAGGAAGGATGCTGAGGTCACTGCACAGTCGGTGCATGGCCAAACCTCAGCTCTCCAGCCCCAAACACGAGAGCAGTTAACCCTGAAAAGGCCAGAGCCAGCAGCACTGGGCTCCTCTGCCAGGTGCAGCTGCTGAGCATCGCTGCTCACAGCAGAAATCCGGGGTGTTATTTACTCTGCCTGCTCTTTCTGGATGACATTTTTCCCTTTCAGGTTGCGGGTGCCCCTGAGTGTGCAGAACAGCAGGCCAGAGGCTGCTGGCAGGCTGCAGAGGGAGTGGGTGTCCCTGCTGGAGAGGCACTGCCAGCCAGGCAGCGCTGCCCCCCTGCCCCTGCAGGGCTCCCAGGGATGCAGCTCCCCCGAAGCTGATTACGAGGAATTTGTTGTGCCTCCGAACGAGCAGGAAGAGGAGAGTCCCCACTTGGGTGGGAGCTGTGCAAGGAGCAGCCTGGGCAAGCCTCCAGCCCCCCTGGCAGCCCCTGCAGCAGCTCTGCCACCCACCACGGGCAGGGCTGAGGTGCCACCAGCCCCACCTGCCCTCCCACAGCCCTGCAGCCTCCCTCCAGCAGCAAAGAGAACCAAAGCCTTCCACTGGGATGTCGTTCCTTGTGACAAGGTGAGGATGAAACTGAGAGGCAAAAAACCCACATTTTGTAGCCCGTGTGACATGGGTGGTGACAGGAATCCAGCTGTGCCACAAAACAGCCTGGATGTCCCTCTCTGTGTTTGCATGGAACAAAGGGCCTCTGTGCTTCTGGCTCTTTGTTTACCCTCTGTCCCTCCTGTATTTTTAGATTCAGAAATCTCTCTGGGGATCGTGTGACCCATGCAAGAGAAAAATAGATGTCTGCAGGCTCTGTGAGCAGTTCCAGATCCAGGACACAGCAGTGCCTTTGGGCAGCGAGCCTCCAGTGAATCAGCACATCCTGCTGGACAGAAAAGTGGCACATAACTTCAGTGAGTGCAGTAACAGGGGCTGTGTGCTCCTCTCTGGCTGAGCTCTGCCTGCGTTTGCTGCTTCTGCTTTCTGCCACCCCACAGGCAGTGATGGAGGTTGGGTGGAAATCCTTTTCTCTTTGTAAAACCAGACCCCAGGGCTCAGCTGCTCCAGAGAGAAATCCCCAAGCTGTGTTTGTTTGTTTTTTTTTTTGTCCAAACCTGGCTGTACCACCGAGCAGTGATGCTGCTGTCTTGGGGCAGATGTGTAAAGTCATCCTCAACACCTGTAAAATCAATTTAAGCCTCTGGCTGCGAAGGCTTTTCCCATTTAGTGGGCTGCAAAGTCACCAGGAGCAGGTTGGGAGGCAGAACTTGGAGGGCTGAGCTGCAGTGGGGTCAAGGATCCCGTGCAGGGGGAGGTGGGCTGGGGTGAGGAGCCTTTGGGGCAGATCCAGGGCAGGAATTCTTGGCTTCTCCCTGCCTCAGCATCCTGTTCTTGAGCACAACCCTTCGCTCTCCTCCTCCAGGTGGGATCCTGCCCAAAGCCTGACCTAGAACAGCCTTTCAGAGCAGCTCAGCACCCAGTCCTGCTCTTCCTAATAAAATATTGTGAAGGTCTTTTAATTCCCTTGGTGAGAAGTGGTAGACAGTAAAGGAGCAGCAGTAATTGTTCTTCAAAGAGCACTCTGATTTATGTTACAAAGATGCCTTTCCAAAAAATTTCTATAACCAGGAGATGCTTTAAGATGGTTACATGTGTAAAGAATTTGGGGCAGTCAATTCTGAAGTTTTAATGATTTCATCTTGATGAAGATGAATAAGAAAAAAATGTATTTTGGAGAGCGTGTAAAGTTTTAATTGGGACATGTAAACGGAGATAACTCAGAATTATTGCATCCCTTGACTAATAATTTGAAGGGTTAAAAGGAACAGTGATGGCAAAGTGTTGTTGTAGATAAAAGAATCTTGTAATAACACTTTTATCTGCTAAATTATTGCAGTTTCTTTGAGGAAATGTCTTTCTTTTGCTTTGCAAATAGCACAATTCCTCCTTTTGATCCTGTTCCTCTCACAGCGTTTTTCACTCAACATTCTACATCCCCTTCTTAATCTTATCCTCATCAGTGAGAGTTTTGGCATATCCTTATTATAAGGGACATTACTCAGATCAAAAGTTAATTTGATCCTGTGAATTTTGATTAATCTTCCTGCAAGTGCTGCAAACCACAGTCCTTAAATTAATGAATAAAAAGATGAAGCTCCAAAATGCCAGTAGGTTAAAAATTCTGGAGATTTTGAGTGGAGTTGTGAACAGCAGAGGAAAATGAGAGTTCTGAGAGATCTCCACACTAAATTCAAGGCCAGTGTAGGAGAAAATACAAGTAAAAGCAAAGTTCTCTCATGGATTATTGTTGAAAAAAGAAATTCCTGCCACACAGGGAGCAGCCATCAGTAAGAGACAAGAAAATCATCCTCAGATTTGTTTTCCCTTGATGATTGCTATGTAAATTTAAAGAAAATATGAAGACTGAGATTTTGCCTTATGATAGCAGCTGCTAAATATTTTATATTCTGGTTGTTTGGGGTTCTTATTTTACTTTTTTTTTTAAATTCTGCTAAGTATATATGAGATACTTTGGTGACTTCCCCTCCCTCGAGCATTTCCTTCCAAGTAACCGCAGGATCCTTTTTCTCCAGACATTTTCCTTAAGAGTTTCCGTATAAAACCAAGTGAGCTGAAGGACAAACTCTTCATCATCCACGAGGAGAGTGGGGGGCTCACAGACGAGCAGATTACAGCACTGAGGAGGTAATTTTGGGGGGAATTGTTTGGGTTTGGCACCTTTTGGACAAGGCAGAATCTTCTGCAAGTGATGGGAAGTTTGGAAATTTGGTTTGGAGAGGAGGGAGGCAGACAAGAGCTAAAGGAGGTTTGTGGGATGATGGGAATATTTGAATTTTTGTGTGTCTGAGTGGCAGGGATTTGGGGCTTTAATGCAGAGTGGAGATTTCTGTAACTGGACAGATTTCAGTGTGAGCAAACTGTTGGTGTGTGAAATTCACAGGAACTGGATTTTATCTTTTTGAATAGTTGGAGACGTAGAAAGAAAGGAAAGAAGTGGGATCTGTTCCACACCCCAGTCCCCATGCGATACTTGGGCCATTTTAATAAGCATTTTTACACACAGAAGCTTGATGTGAAACTGATTCTTGCTTCAAAATGAGACAAAAAATGAACGTTTGGTAAAGAAAACTGGGAAAAAGAGGACACTGGCAGAGAAAGTGAGGAAGTAAATAATTGATGTTTCTGTTGCTTGTGGAATCAGTTTAATTTTGGCCTTAAAATCCTGATCTGAGACAGTAATTTTGAAGTCTGTAGAATCCTATCTCTGCTTGGGAAGTGGTGTGAGGAAGAGCAGATATGAAACATGGAATTAATGTCATTCTGTGTGATGCTTTTCAAGGTATGAAGGGACTTGGTTGGGACACTGGGTATTTAAATTGTTTTGGAATTTTGGGAGGTGTTTCTTTGCTGTCCCAGAGCTCTCCCAGTTAAAGTTCACAGTAAACTTATTTTTTTTTTTCAGAGAAATAAGAATCTTTTTCATTGTGTAAATTCCATTAGAGCTGCATTCACGTACAAAGATATTTATGGAATGCATTCACGTGTTTTTGTGCCTCCTTTCTCATGGCTCCCATTGTTTAATGCTTTAAGCTTTAAACCTTCCAGATAATCTGTTATTTCCATTTTCTATGCATAATGCAGCTAAAGAATATTATGTGGTATCAGACTTCTGATTAAATGAAGATATTTGCTGTCACCTTTTGAAATATGCTCTATGAATTTGCTTAAAAGCTCAAACTATTTTTAATGATGAGTAAATACCCTTTCATTGGCCAACAGCTAACATTTTAAAATGAAAATTCATTTTTTTTCTTGATGGTAAAGTGGGCTGAAAGGATTACATTTTCATCTGCTACAATGTAGAGTTAATTCAAGCCCCAGCAATTTTACGATGGAAACGTCATATTAATTATTGACAACAGTAAAATAAATCTTAGTGCTTGTCCTGTGCTTAACGTGCTAAAATATTTGCTTTTTTCCCATCTTTGAGTAAATTCCCTGACTTTTACTGGAAATGTATAGCTCTGCCCATGAATGTTTAATCACTCTTGCTGCAAATTTGGAAGTTTGTTTTAAGAAAAAGAAAAGAGAGGAGACCTGAATACTTATTTCAGCTGCTTTGCACTGCTCACATGGGAGCTGTGACATGGATTCAGTTTTTCTGAAGCAATGCTGTGAATTCCCCCAGCGGTGGCTCCGACAGGCAGGAGGATCTCCAAAGGAAGGCAGCTGTGCTGCTGTGTTTGTTTTTCCAACTAGAGGCATGTTTGAAGACATCAATCTTCCAAAAATCTGCAGTCCTGGAGGGTATTCTGTGACCTTGTGCAGAAGGGAGGGAGATGTGGGTCTGTGTTTTGTGCTGGCACTGTTTCAGCAAGTCAAAAATCCTGTAAAAATCATGATAAAGAAGAGAAACCCCCCCGGGTTGGGGTTTTTGGGGTGTCTGTGCAAGGCCAGGAGGGACAGGATGATCCTTGTGGGTCCCTTCCAGCCCAGGATGTTCTGTGATAACAGAGATAAGAGAGGATCCAACCTCTTTGGAAATGAGGGCCTGAACTCCTCTGCCTCATGGTTTCACATTTTCTAAAATATTCTGTAATTCTAAATTCTCTGAATATCTGCAGCTGGACATTCTGGCTGTTTTCAAGCCTCATCTCCACAGAATCATTTCCAGGTATCCAGAGGTGTCTGCAGATCACTTTTGCTTCCCATCTCACAGCTGGTTCAATGCCTCCAAAGGATAAACTGTAAAAATGAAGCACATAAACCACACAAAATGTAGGATATTCCAGGGCAAGGAATGGCAGGATTCTTTTATCAGAGTACAGAATGAAGAGGACACCTAATTTTAATTTTCTCTTTACAGATATTTGCCCACACCCAAAGATGCAGAAAGGTACCTGTCCTTCAGGGGGTCTTGCTCAGAGCTGCACGTGGTTGACCAGTTTATGTTAGAGGTGAGGAGCTCCACTATTATAAGACACCACACCCTACTTTTAGGACATTCTCCAAACTAAAACCCCTGCAAGAAGCTGTTGTTTAAAATTTAAATTTCCAATCTCACTCAGAATCAGTATAAGAGGATTATTCTGATCAAGACTTGAGACAGGTGGATAACAAAAAGAGAACTATGGATCCCTTTGTGTCTCCAAGTCAGATTCCCTCCGCTTCCTACAGAGTAGGAACTGATTTTTCCTGACCTAAATCCACATTCCCAAAATCTAGAAGCCATAATCTATAAAATTATATGTATTTAACCAGTTTTGCTCGCAAGAAAGGATTACAATTGATTTTAATGTCTGCCCAAGAGCATAGAGTGAATTTGCAGGTATGTGCCAGAGTGTATCCACAGGGTTAAGGCCAAGAATAAAATGAATAAATGAGCACAGAAATTAAGCAAACAACAGCACAGCTGAATTGCTCAGTAAATAATGAAAGGAATATGCATGTTTTGGTATAAATGGGAGGTTTTATTGTGGTTCTGCTCAATTCTGTGCAGATGTGTAAAATCCCTCAGCTGGGGCAGAGGCTGGATCTGCTGCTCAGCGTCCGTGAGCTCCCTGAGAGCATCAGAGACCTGGAGCCTGTAAGTACAGAGCCTTCCTGGGGTGTTTGTGATCCTGGCAGTTTGCTAAGAGAGGCCCAAATCCCCTCAGTGCAGATTTCAAGGCTGTGTAGTTTGGGAGGATTATTTTTGGGTTTTTTTCCACTTGGATGTTTAATATCGTCCTTATTCCACCAAAGTTTGAGATAATGGGCTTGGCAGTAGAATAGACTTCCACAAAAGAGAGAGAAAAGAACAGGAAAAGGTCTTCAAAATTTTATTTGGAGTTATTAAACTTTCCTACTTCTTTGGATAAGACAGAAGTGAATTTCACCATTAAAATTCCATCCCATTTGTGGGGAGGTTCTGGCCCCATGAGCTGAAAGAAGCAGTCTGAGGCAGGGAGAAAGTTTATTTGACAAATCTCTAAGAGATTTATTATTTCCTGAAGACTGAAGGAGCTGTTCCCCCTAAGGATTACAGCTCTGGACTGGAATTTTTGGGAGGCAGAGCTCAGGTGCCGCTCTCGTGACTGGATCCTGCTGTTCCAAGCCCTGCCTTACCTGCCAGGTTTTGTCCATGCTTTGATTCCAAACAAGCATTTCCACACCATGAAAATGTTTTAGAGGTTTTGCACTCCTTCTGCATGGGAATGAAAATAAAATGTGCAAGTTCTGAGAGACCAAGTTGTTCTGCTTTTGTCTGGCTGTGATTAAAGCCACAGTAAGGGTGAGGGAAGCTTGGAAGAGGAACAGATGGAAAGCACAGGGGAGATGCAGATTCCTGACCCTGCCTGGTGCAGTTGCACCTTTGCTGTCCTCCACTGAAGCCAAATATTGAATATTTGAAAGTTATTCTCTGCACTGTTTGCTTTGATGGATATTTAATGTTCACTGAAGAGCTAATTAGTGTCTAAGTATGTTCTTATGCACGGTAACACCTCTTTTTAAACCCCAGAATATACACCTAAAATCCAAAGGGACAATGTGAATATTGGCTTCCAGCACCCTCTGGCCCTGAGCTGTGCTATAAATGTTTTAACAACAGCTTTCATTGCACCCATGTGCTTCATCCTCTCCCTGTTTTTAAATTTGTGTGTTGGTGACTGATGAAAAGAGGTGTGGTGCTAGAAGAATACAAATTTTTAAACTGGGAACAAAATCCTCTCCTGTGGCTATAGCCCTAGAAGGGAGGTGGCTTCCCTGGGAAAACTGAATTATACTGAGTTTCAGTACAGGAAATTATTATTCTTCCTTGTGGGGAAACTGTGCTGAGAATTTTGATAAGAGCATTGAGCTGGTGTAAATGGAAGGGAGGGAGGTGAAGGATGGAGCTCCAGGCTCTGCTTCCCCTGATCCCTGAAATTTGGGTGACCAAACAGCAAAACCCTTTTTGTGCACAGGAGGCTGAAGTTGTTTTGGCAGGGCTGAAAGGATGTGACTCCTTTTGGGGTGGCTGTGCCAGCACGGCTTTGTCCTGGGGAGTTGGACCTTGCTGAAAATCCCTGAGGGATTTGGAGAGGGAGATGTCCTTGGGCAAGGGAGGGGCTTCAGGTGGGGACAGTGAGGGTGGCACAGCCACCAGGGATTTATCCCCATTTTCAGCCTGCCTGAGGGAAGGTTTGTGTGTTCCAGCTGATCCTCCAGAATATCCAAGCCAGCAAGCAGCTGCAGTCCAGCCCCAAGTTTGCTGCTGTCTTGGAGTACATTTTAGCCATGGGGAACCACCTGAATGAAAAAGCTGGGAAGGAGGTGGCCAAAGGATTCCGACTGTCATCTCTGGCCAAAGTGAGTAAATATTTTATTGTAATTAAAATCATCCTATTCTAAGGTTTGTTAGCATTAATATGAAGTCTCCCCGAGGTGGAGAGAGGCAGTAATTGCTAATGAGGAGCTGACATGCCTGGGGTTACAGGAGAACAAATGCTGCTGGGCACTGAATTCTCTCGTGCCTGTGATCACAAGCTGTGCTCCTACTTCAGGCAGCAGCGCTGGCTCTGTGCTGCTCCATCCACTGTGCCTCTAATGAGGCACAACATCAAAATTCTGCCTGCTCTGGTATTAAAATCCCTTGGCACGAGGAATTGTCTGAGCTGCAGGCCCCGGTGAGACATCGGTATGAACCAGGAATGTGTGTGAAGCAGCAAAATGAAAAGAACAGGTTTAATTCTGTTGTTTTCTATCCCAGATGTACCTGGGATCTATCAGCATCTCTGCTGTTCCTTTTGCATGTTTTATTTTTTTTTAAGGGCTGATAGCTCAGCCCTTAAATAATATTGAATAATATTATTAAAATATAACAATTATTATTACAATTATTAATTATTTTATTAATATTTATTCTCATTGTTCTGCTCTGTTGCAGCTCTCTCTGCTGAGGGGCAGGGACAGGACATTCACCCTGCTCCACGCCCTCGCAGAACAGATCCTCTTACACCAGCCCGAGCTGGCCACGTTTCCTCAGGAGCTGACAGAATTTGAAGCTCTTCCTGATGGTGAGAGGAGGGAAAGGGGGGAAAAAAATCAACAAATAAAAAATTAAGTCCTTCAACTTCTGTGCTTTTCACTGTATAAATGATATTATCATTATAAATGTCATTATCACATTTTTCCCCCTCTCTCTTCCTTTCCAGCGTCCATGAAGGGCCTCAGTGCTGAAGTTGATGGTATGTAAATGTGATTTCTACATTCAGGGGCAGAGTTTCATGCACCGTGCAGTCATTTGGAACAGGTTTTCACTGCACCTCTGTAGTTTGTAAAGAGAGTTAAAGGTTCAAAACATTGAGGTGAAGTGTTGCCATGGAGATGCTTAACCTGCCATGTTATTGTGAAGAATTAAAAAAAGAAAAGAAATATTGAATTGTGTCCAGGTGGTTTAGAAATGTAAAAAAAATAATGTACTGTCCATGGTAAATAGAGTTTATCATGAAATACAAAAGTTAAGTGTACAAATGCTCCATCACAGGGGTGGCTGGGAGAGTCTCTGGGAGATGGGAGTGGGAATGCAGCAGGAGAAACTTCCTGGAGCTCAAGAACTTTGTGGAAACAAACTGGTTTCCTTCTCTGAAAAGGACTCAGGCACCAGGGAAGTTGACAGGAGGGACAGAACATGGTTGTTCAAATGGAAGATGGATTTTGTGAGATGGATTTTGTGAGATGGATTTTGTGAGGTGGAGTTTGTGAGGTGGATTTTGGGAGATGGATTTTGTGAGGTAGATTTTGTGAGATGGATTTTGCGAGGATGGATTTTGTGAGGTGGGTTTTGTGAGGTGGATTTTGGGAGATGGATTTCATTATCCTGCACTTGCTGGGATGTGATCACATTCTTTTGCTCAGAAAATGCCTTTTTCAGGAGCTCTACCTCCCACCAGAAACTTAATACTCCTGGATAAATGTATTGTATGCCCACATTCTTTTATTTTCCTTGTGCCCTAAATTAGGCAATCACTGCCATTTGGACACCTCTTCATGCTGGTGAAATTCTTCATTTTCTGTTCCTTTTGTTAGTTTTAAAAAAAGAATTGGAGAACCTTATCCAGTGCAGGAGGCTCCTCAAACCCAAAGCAAGCAAGGCAACACCCCAGGAGTCCCAGTTCTGCAAGGAACTAAAGGTAAATCAACCACAAGCTCCTTGTGGGCTGGAGTAAGGGAGGAGTAACCTGGGAGTTTGTGCTGACCCCTGGGAATAAGGAGAATTTGAGGGAAAGTGGTTTTTTATTCCCTTCTGAGGGTGACTCTTGTTGGAATTTGCAGTGTGGGAAGGGTTTTCAGGGCTTCTGCACCTCCTATTTTCCCTTCCCAGGCAAGTGGATGAGGAGAAGGCAGCCCTTGAGAAGCACTTTGGGATAATAGGAATTTCAGAGAGAATTTGTAAGAATTTATTCTGCCCTCAGGCAGAAGGGGGTTCAGAGAGGATCCAAGAATCATAGAATGATTTGGAAGATCATCCTTCAGATCATCCCCTGGAACACAGAATCATCCAATCCTTTAAATCATCAAACTGATTTATCAGTCAATGATTTAGCCGTCAATTTGATTATCCATCAGTCATTTCCAATCCTTTAGGTTGGAAAAGCCCTTTAGGAGCACTGAATGCAAAGCCAGCAGGGCTAACTCGTGTCCCCAAATGCCACCAACCCTTCCTCTGAGCCCCTGCAGGGATGGGGGCTCCCCCTCTGCCCTGGGCAGCTGTGCCAGGCCTGGAGAGCCCTTTGGATAAAGGAATTCTTCCTGAAATCCAACTCAAACCTGCCCTGGTCAGCTGTGCCAGGCTTTTGGATGGAGGAATTCTTCCTGAAATCCAAAGGAAACCTGCCCTGGGCAGCTGTGCCAGGCCTAGACATCTCTTTGGTGGAGAAATTCTTCCTGAAATCCATCCCAAACCTGCCCTGAGCAGCTGTGCCAGCCTTTTGGATGGAGAAATTCCTGAAATCCATCCCAAACCTGCCCTGGGCAGCTGTGCCAGCCTTTTGGATGGAGAAATTCTTCCTGAAAACCACCCCAAACCTGCCCTAGGCAGCTGTTCCAGGCCTTCACAGCATTTTGGATAATGGAATTCTTCCTGAAATCCCACCCAAACCTGCCCTGGGCAGCTGTGCCAGGCTTTTGGATGAAGAAATTCCTGGAATCCACCCCAATCCTGCCCTGGAGGGCTGGTGGCAGCTCAGGTGTCCCCACTCTGTTGTGGCCACGTCCATCTCTGCTGTCCCACACCTCTTTGTGCTTCCAGGTGTTTCTGTCATTGTTGTTTTCTCTTCTACAAATAACACTAATAAATAGTTACTACTATTTGTACTGCATAAATGTTTAAAAAATATTAATTTCCTCCATCACTTACTACCTATATATTAACTATATAATATAAATCTACTAATTTTTATAACAAACATTATTTATAAAGTATTATTATAGTATTTACAACCAATTTTCATATACTTCATCATCTCTTTATATAATCACCTATTAAACACGTTTCATTTCAAGATCCTACTTTTTATCCTCTAACTACTTATACATCTCTTAAACCAAGTTAACTCTCTAACTAGTCCCTACACTAACTCTACAGTTTAACCCAATACTATCTCACAATTTTAAATATTTTTCAGAATTAAAAAAAAAAAATCTAAAATCTGGGTGTTACAAACAAGGTAAAATGAAGAAATTTTATTTCCAGGCTTGTTTCTAAAGCCCTCTTTCTTCCCCTTAAGGACTTGGAACTGGTAGGTTTTGCTGCACAGGCAAAAAGGCCAAATATTCTGGAAATCAGGACCTTGTGATGCTTCTCTGCCTCTGCCACTTTTAATGGATTTAGGTTTTGTCATTTTATAATACAGTTAAAATTCTCTAACATTAATATTTCTTTTTATTTTTTGTCTTTGATGGCTTAATACTTGCAAGGGAATGCGTGTGCTTCTCTTTTGTGAAATGTGAAATTTTTATGACATGAAATTTTCGCCTTGAATGATTTTGTTTTCACTGCTGTTTAATTCCTGCTTTAATTGTATGCTCCTACAGCAAATTAAGAAGTTTTATTTTATTACAGGATTTAATTCAGAAATATGAAGGGGATCTCTCCCAGCTGTCAAAAAGATGTGAGGAAATGAAGAAGCTTTATAACAACGTACTGGTACATATCATATTAAAATGCAATGAAAATAAAGCTAAAAAATTTATTTTTTAAAAGAGAAAAAATGAGGGGAAAGGAGTGCAAGAAATTCCCACTTGCCTTATATTTACACTGGCTATAGCAAAAGAAAGAAAATCCCATATTTAACAGTGGTCAGAGATCTTAAGGAAAGGGACAGAAATTCAGTGATAACCTCTGAAACTGGAACAATATCCTGGTCCTGGGATTAAAACACTTTGTACACATTTTCCTTAATGAATGGATTCATCTACCAAGCTGCAGAGCCAGAAAATTTCAGGTTTGCTGAATTTTCTCCTCTTCAGCTGGAGATTTGTGGTCCAGCCAGAGAGATTAACCCAGGCTGCTGATGTAATTCAATGGCAGCTCCACAGATCACTTTTATTTGGGATATTTTGGATCTCAGTTCCCTGGGGATTTAAGACAGCTCAAATTTGCTTCTTCCTCCTCTTCCCCTTCTTTTAGCTCTTATTCCTCTTCTTCTTTGTATTAATATGAACAATAATGGAGGTATTTAAATTTTCTGCTCTTTAAATTTTGTTAGATCACTCAGATCTCAAGTTTAAATTAAATATTGTTTTTTTAAAGTTAAATATTTTTTTGTTTCCGATTTCAGGTGAAGTTTGGGGAGCCAGCAGACCTGGACTCCCAGGAGCTCTTTGGGTGGATCTCTTCCTTCATCAGTGAGTTTAGGAAGGCGTGTGCTGAAGTCACACCATAAAAACACACATTTTGTGGGAAGGAGGAGGCCAGGAAGAAACAATTTCTAATTGTTTTTTTTCTTTATTGATAAGCAGCACATTGCCAATCTCACCTGTGCAGCAGAACTTTGATTTTGAGAGACATTTCAAATGTGTAATTTTTAAGTGGTATTTAACCTGTAATATCCCAGATCACTGATGAGACTCTCAATTTTGTGCTTTTGTACCTTGAGATTCTCATATATTGAAAAAAACCCACTTTTGACCTTTTATAATTTCCTTTTCAATCTTTTCCTTTGGATACCCCAACTTCTGGCCCAGTTTTAATTGTTTTCCTTAGTAACTTTCTGTATGGTGATCTAATTTCTAAAGAAAACTTCACACATTTTATAATGAAATGGGGAGCTGTTACCCACAGAGGAGAATATTTAAACAAAGTCTTGTTTATTTTGCTATTAAAACATTGCAAACTTACTATGTAATGAAGAAAGTAACTGGCTGAGTGTTTTATTTTGCCTTGTCCCCACTAAGCAGGACAACAAAATAGTACTTTTTATGGCAAATGTCATGTATTTGCCATAAATGCTATGGAAATTAATCAATATATAAGATTTGCATTGTCAGGACGAGAAAAATGTCAGAGCAGCAAAATAAAAAACTGTCATGAAGCATCTAAGGAATGGATAAGGGAGGGAATTACCCATGGTTTTCCAAAGAGGAACTATTTCTGTTGTGTTTGCTGGCTTTTACGTGTTTTTAATTAGAATAATTATCTGGAGGTCAATGTGTGGGAGGAAAAGGAGGCCTAGAGATGCAAAGACAAAATTGTGTGTTTAACATGAAAAGCAGAAAACAGTTGTAAAAGGGCATTGATAAAATCTGACATTTTCCCTCCCAGGTTTGCAAACAGTGTGGGTTGAGAGAAGAGTGAATCTGATTTATTTTAGAAGAATCTGATTTATTTTGGGTCTTTCTGCCCAGTGTTCGGGCTTTGATGGAAATGCTGAACGCTGAGCACTGAGAGGAGCTGGGACTGACCCCTCTGACAGGCTCAGGTGCCCTCACAGCTCAGAATTCCAGCAGCCAAGGAAGGAGTTGGACTATGTAGGATCAGCTTCTCAAGGTTGTTTATTTTCCCTTATCTATACCATTCTTTCTCTGACCTGCTGAGCTCTGCCTAGCAAGTCCTTCATGGCATTCTGCATCCTGCTTTAAAGCAGAGTTTGCATTTTATACTCAAAACTACCTGTGCTATGTTTACAATAACGTGCCAATATCTATCATTTATGTTGGGCAGTGTGTCTCTACCTTAAACCAACAGAAAAGTGTCACCATCACAGCAAGACATGGAGAGCAAGGAGAAGGAGAAGAAGAAGAAGGTCAGGACATGCCCAAATTCCTCCATCTTGTACCCACTGAACCCCATTCTAAAACCCCCAAATTTCTACTTTTTCACCCTGTGTTAATTCAATTATCACACCACTCAAACCCTTGTGACCTGTAATTCCTCACAAAAAATTGGCAGCTTTTTCCAGGGGCTAAAATGGAAGCCACAGATGTTTTTGACTTTGTGCCAGGGTCTGGAGGCAGCCAGGGCATCCAGAGGGATCTGCTGGACTCTGACATAGTTTAGAGTTGGAACTCTGGATGCTGAGAAATATAAACTTTCTGTGCTGAAAGGCACAGACTTGCAAAAGAATTTGCATTTGACCTGAGGCTGTGGAGAAGACTTCCAAAATTGATTAACAGCACTGGGATTACAGGTGTGGAGTTGGTTAGAAGTGTGTAACATCACAGGGTGGAAAACTTAGAGTTTGGGGGTTTAGAATATAGAAATAAATATGAAGCAAGATGGGGGTTTTAGGGCAGAGACAGGTTGTTCTTCCTCACCTTCTTCTTCCTTCTCCTTCCTGGGTTTGGGTGGTATCTTGTCATTGGGCAGATAAATCCACATTGAGGGCTTTGAGCAATCAGTTATTGGGTTCAAAGGGAAAATAATCTAGGTGTCATTTCTTAATTGGGTAGTTTAGTTTAATTTTAGCCTTAAAAGACCTTGAAACTGTGCATCTGGGGCCATTTTTGTGCTGTTTTCCTGCATGCACGGTCTGATGCAGACAGCATGCTGAAGTTTTGATAAGATAACAATAAACAAGAAGCTGAAGACTGAAAAAGTCCAATGTGTCTCCTTTTCTTGACACAGAAATGCTCCAGGAGGGCTTCACCCATCAGGGCAGCCCCCAAGGAGAAGCCAAATGTGGCTGGCAAAGTATTAATGTAATATAATTTACATAGTATTAATGTAATATAATTTAGCTTAATAAAAGCAATTTACTCACCCTTCTGCACCATGGAGTCAGAGCACATTATTCCCCCTCCAAGGGTCCCTGCTTCCTTACAGGGACACTTAGACGCTGCTGGAAGGTGGGAATGGAAGACTTTTTCCATGTCTGAACCAAAAAAATGTGTCATCTGGACTTCCCAGCAGTCTTGTTAGGGCTGTGCTCCCAGTTATCCTTCTCAGAGGCAAAAGGAACGAAACAGAACCACAATTAGCACCCCTGAGACTTATTTTACATTAAATTATTTGGAGAAGCAATTCAAGTGTTTAATTTTACACCAAGCTGGCTGTATTTGCCTCGAGTCAGCATCAGAGCAGTGATACCTACAGGATCTACTTCCACCCCTCGTTTGTGCCTGGGAGAGGAAAATTCAATAATTCCCTTTTCATTCCTTGCAGCCCCATTGCACAGTGCCCTGCCCAGTGCATGTCCCTGCCCCGTGAGCACCCCTGGCAGCTTTGGATGTGTGTGATTCCAGCTCCAAAATCGGAATTCTCTCCATTTATATGGGGCTCATGTCAGATAATCCTGGATGCCAGTGCCATTTCCATGGCATCAGGATCCCTGCATCCCTGAACAGTGTTCGTGATGCTCATGATAAGTTTCATGGCTTTTTACCTCCAAAATCCTGCTAAGTCTCTTTTAACTAAATTTTTTTTTCCTTTTCTTTTTTTTTTCCCTCATTACTTTTTCCCCCCCAGCCTTTCTTTTCCATTAATCTGTTTAACAGCTTGTACTTGTTTTATAGCTCAGCTGGCAAGGCCTCTCCCAATTAAAAATACATCCTGCCCAGTGGTCGATATCTGTGCCTTTGTGTGAACATCCTGCAGCATTAATTAAAAAAAAAAAATTAATTAAAATTTTAAAAAGTACCTTCTTGGCATGAAGTTCTATCCTCTTCAGAGAGCACAAAGCTTTTCTATGGAGTGGGAGCTGATTCCATTTTCCTAAATAAGCTGCTCCTTCAGTGCCTGGGAGCTTGAGACATCCTGATTTATATGTAAAAATAACTAGACCTTGCTCCCTACCTCATTCTTTATTTCTTAACTTATTTAACATAAGGCTGGGGTTTTTCAGCTCTCTTGAATTGTATTATTGTGTGTTAGTGGCACAGAGAATAATGCTTTTTACACCTCAACATTTATTTGGGATTATATAGACGAGCTCCAAGTCTCCCTGTGGATAATGTCCTTGGATTCCCTCCTCAGCAGGTGATGGTTTTATCCTGCAAAAATCATAAAAACTGTGGGTGATGCTTCTCTTTGTGGAAAATATTACTCTTAGGAGCAATCTGACCTGCCAGAACTGCAGTTTTTTTACATCTGGGTTATTTTTTTTCCCCACAGAGCTGATTTTTGGCATATTCTGGAATATGAAATCTTAGTTGAAGGTGTTATAAGAAGTTCTGGCCACTGAAATGAGTCTCAATATTTGGCTGTGTGGAGCAGTGGGTCAAATCTGCACGGAGTTTCCTCTGCTGACAGCTCAGCAGTGTCAGAACCACTGGCTCCAGGAGGAAATGGAGATTTCTTTCCATGGTTGTTTCCTTAAAATGCACATTTCTGCCAGGGTGACAGGGGCAGCAGGAGCAGGGAAGATCATTTCTGTCTCTCATGTCAGACAATAATGGCCTGCAGCAGAACCACAGCTCAGAGCAGCCCAGCTCCCAGGAGAAATCCCTGACTTTATCCAGTGTCTCAGGGAATTTGGGAAAATGCTGCAAGAAATGGTTTAGGTACAGGTCACTGAAGGGATCTGAGCTCCCACAGGGGCACCACTCACAAGGGGCTTTCAAGAATTCACAGGTTGAAATACAAATATCTTTCCCCAGGGACAGAATTCTCCCAGGGTTTCAAACCAATAATGCAAAGAGCAGAGATTATCCAGCACTAGAGTCAGTGGAAAAAATTTAACTTCCACAATTGGACAATTATATCCCAGGGCAGTGGCTGAACTTTGTTTTCCAGCTTTCCACTTTTTTTTTTTTTTTTTTCCTTTCCTACTTGAACTGCAAGCACCAGGCACAGTGCTTCTGCTAATTTGTATAAATGAGCAGTAAAATTAAAACTGTGGTCACTTGGAAGGTGTTGTGTGCAGAAAAGCTTTGATATCACTTATGAGTGCTGGTTTCTGGTTTGAATTAATGTCTTTCAAATCCAAACCAGTTTTAGGAGAAGGGGGAAATGCTGTTAGATAAAGAGAATAAAAGTGGGGTTTCTGCAAGGGCCCCTGTTGGGTGCTCACTGTGCAACAACCAAAACTGGAATTGTTCTTGGAAAACCCTCCTGATGGCTCACAAAGACGTTTTAAGCTGCTCATCTTAAAGAAGAAAATGTGGCAAACTCCAAAGCCAGGGGTTGCCTTGAGGGAGAGCTGAGGTGACTCAAGAGCTCCTGGACGGATCCTGCCCCGCCTCGCTCCCAGAATTTGGGATGTGGATATTCACAGGTACAGGATTCCATCCCTGCATGGACAGCTCAGCCAGGCTGCCAGAATGCTCAACTGCTAAGTTTTCTCCCCAAATTCAATGTAAATATGAAGTTTTTCACTGTTTAGAATGTACTGGAAGCTGAACCAGCTGCTTTATCCCCAGAGTAACAAAGAGCAGAGGAGCCTTTGGAAGCTCCAACTAATTCAGGTGTGAACACTTGGTGAAAATAAGATTTTCTTTAGCACTAACTTGAGTCCTTCACCTCAGAGCACGGTGTGATGTGTCTGAGCAGCACAGAGGATTTTTGGGTGTACACAGGAATGATTGCAGGCATTGCTAAATGAGCTTTAAGCTTTCCCACTTGCTGCCTATTTAGCCAGGGATGGAATTTTGCCCACTGGGGACATTTTATACAAAGGCAGTCAGCAGTAATTAAACAAGAGAAAGCCACAAAGTAGCTAAATATTGCTTTAAGCTCATTTGACAAATGAGATGTTTGAAACAAAAGGTTTCAGATGCAGATTTGAAGTCCCTGGATGCAATTTAGAAATGCTGCAATGTGTTTACAAACAGAAATCACTGACACTTTTGCATAAGGGTAAGTAACTGCTGAGCTCTGCTATGGGGCTGTCACTGACCTAAAAAAACCCCAAAGGTGATTGTCCACAAAGATCAACTACTGATGAGCAGATTTATACCAAAATTCCTCTTGTAGCTCCTAGAAATTTTCCTGCACAAGCTCTGTAGGACTTGGCCTGAAATGATGCATTCATAAATAGAAATTTGCTCAACTCAATTCCAACCCAGGAATTTTTCTCAGCCAGTAAATAACTCCCAGATAATATCTCAAGCTGCTGTCAGCAATGCTTACATTGAAGCTTCTTTCTTGGAATCCTGCCATGCAGAACAATCTGATCTCTCCCTTTGCTGTCAGGAATTAAGCTGATTAGGAAAATCAAACCCCATCCAAACCCTTCAGATGATGGAATTACTGAACTTGCCCTGTGGAAGGACAGCCCTGCTGTGATGCCCCTGCTCTCCAAGCTGCAGGGGATGATGCAACTCTGCAGTTCCTCGGCCCAAAATGCACAAAACTTTGTGGGTTTCAGGTCTGTAAATCTTTTTTCTGCATTTGTCTCGCCCTTTCTGCAGGCAGGAAAGCTGTGCTCTCCAATTCATGCAAAAAAACCCCAAAAAAACAAAAAAAAAACCCCTGAACTACAATAGTAAACCAAGAATTAAATTTTGCTTTATAACAAGTTTTAAATGCCAATACCTGCTTTAAAAGCAGTTAATGTGTGTACTAGATTTTTGGCCAGAATCCACCTAACTTCTGTTTTTACAGGAGGGTTACACATGTCAATATTTCTTGTAAATATTTTGAATTAACATAAATACAAGAAATATCAAGCTATTTGGGTAGTTTAGTGAAGATGAATGATGATATTTACAAACAACTGACTCCTACCTGGGGTCTCAGGGGGAGCAAGAGGAACTTCCAGGGTCACACTTTGCTCTCACTTTTCCGCTGAAGTATTATGGGATGGAGCCCCCCTCATCCCAAATCTCCTGCTGCAGAACTGGGGGAGATCCCAGAGGGGCTGGGGGTGCTCAGCTCCCTGCAAAAACCTGCAAAAACAGCAAGATCAGCCTGACAGAAAGGAAATATAATTAGGCTGAAGAAGAAAGGCAGGGAGAGGAAGGAGGGCTCTGTTACTGAGGGGCTTAGAAAAATTCCAAAGGCCTCCAGGCAGGAGTACAGAGCTCAAAAAACGTCAGAGGAAGTCTGAGGCAGATTATTCTTCCCTTTTGTAAGGCAAATGCCTAATTATACAAAGCAAGATGTTCTGTTTCAGAAGAGATTTGAGAGGTATCATGCAACATTGATACAGAAATTGTATTTAATGCAGGTTTACAAGGCGAGAGGTAAAAGGAAATGTAAATGCAAACATGATGTTTTATCCTGTGGCTCTTCCCTCTGTCAGAAAGCTGCCTCAGTGCTGGAAGTCTCCTGTGAAACAGCAAATTCTCCCAACTGGAGGCAGTTTCAGGCTTCCACAGTGTGTGTCCAGAAAAGGAAAGAAGCTGTGAGCTTAATCTAACTGAATTTCCACTGTTGTGTGCTGTTGATATTTATTTTTACTCATTTTCTTTCAAAGGAAGAAACACAAAATCCCTGTAAGAGGGAGCTGGATCAATACTGAGAAATTCTTTGCCACATAAAATAAGAGCAATAGTTAACCTTGTTGCTTATGAATTAAATGCAAACTCCACTTTTCAGCTCACCTCTCCCACAGCGTCCCCTGCAAACTTCCCTCATTCTGCTCAGCAGTTAAAGCCCAGCTCAGCCACCCAAACAAGGATTGTTACAAACAGCCTTGGAGCTCTCTTCCTTCTGTTTGGGTGGGGAAAAAAGAGGTGTTTCCTGATGTGGGTTGGGTGTTTTGGTGCTAGGGTCTCTCCGGGCTGCTTCCTTAGGTGTGGATTTGTGGATTATGGATTTATTGACAGCCCTGATGTCTCTTGGAGCAGCACGTGGAGAAAACTGATGGCCACGGCCCAGCTCTGCACTGCTCCAGCTGTGGGGTCAAATTCCAGCCTGTTTTACTCTGGTGAAAGTCATCCAGGAGCTGGAGCTGCTGGAGAGAGCCCAGAGGAGGCACCAGGATGGACAGAGGGATGGATGGAGCAGCTCTGCTGGGATTGCTCACCTGGAGAGGAGATTTGGGGTGAGCTCAGCGTGGGCTTGCAGTGAAAGATGGAGAAGCTTTGGACATGGATGGAGGGACAGGACAAGGGGGAATGGCTTCAAGTGACACAGAGCAGGGTTAGAACGGATTTTAGGAGGAATATCTACAGAGACAGTTGATGTCATTGTCCACACCAAAATCGAAACCAAATTTCCAAAATGATCGTAAAGTTTTTAATCTCTAACAAATGATTAATCTCTCAAAAGCAGTTTCAAGTTCCAATGGAACTTTCTGTGCACACGGAATTATATTTGCTGCTACTTGTGCAGTGTTAAAAGGCTGGGGACAGAAGAGGTTTGAAGCAGGAGATGTTGAAATAGTGTGGAACTATTTGTACATTTGTATTTACAATAAATATTTTTGCCACAACTTTGTTTTGTTGGAGTCCTCGTGTGCACAGGAGTGAATCTTTTAATCTGCAGATCAAATTTCTACAAGAGGTACAAAGTTGAGCGGCAAGTATTTGTTTGATTTCTTGTTTCCTTTCCTTTCAGTAAGTGCTTCTCCCCTGCCTGACCCTTCCATCCATCTTTGTTGTGTCACTGGGTAAGAGGATATTGATGCATTCCTGGAAAACAGAAATATTTTTGCCTCTTGCCTGATCAATGCGACTCCTTAAAATTTGAGTTTGGCATTCTGAATTTTAGGGAGTTTGATGTTTGCTAAGAATTTTGGCTGCTTTATGGCTTCTCAAAGATTGGCTGAGTTCTGCAGAATTAATGCTTCACCCTCAGCTCTCCACATCAGCTGAAAACCACTCCCTGCTCACATTTACCCACAGAAAGCTTTGGTGTTCAGCAGAGAGTGGATTTTGGTGCTTTTTATTCCTCCTCTTACTTTCCTGTTGCTTCTTTAATTTCTTCTGTCTGCACCCAGAGATGCCTTGGCCAAGCAGGGAATGGAGCCTGCTGTTGGTTAATGGCTGACCCAGGATATATTTGTTGCAAATCTCTTACAGGCACAAAAAATGCTGTACTGGAAGGCATCTATCTAAAAATAGATTTGATTCACTCAATTTCTTACAAACTATTGGTGCTTTTTTGGGTAGGATGGAAATCTGTGAAGCCAATTCTGCTTCTGGGTGCACTGTGCCATTTCTGCCAGACCCTGAAGTGAGTTTAGGTTTCACCATGAGATTATTTTGAACAGAGGCAGGTGATGCAGGAAAGATCTGGTTGAGAAACCACCACCAGCACCAAGCCACTCATGTTTTTAATGATCTCCAAATTCATGGGACAACTAAGCAAAGGTACCTGCTCAGTCTCCCAGTCCTTCCAACACACACCATAAAAACAAACCATCCTGGACAGAGGTGTTAAATGACACCAGAAGCATGTGGCAGCACTGTCAGGGGGCCCTGCTGATGCTCACAGGACAGGCAGGACAGCCCTGCCGGTGCTCCCAGGTGGGATTTGAGGAAAGCTCGGAGCTCTCCTGCCCCAGTCCCAGCTGCAAACACCACCCAGGAGCTCTGTGCCCCGGGAGACTCGGGCAGGTCCAGGTGCTGCCTTTCAGGGAGCAATTCCTTGGAATAATTCCTCAATTATTCCTTGGAAATTCCAGCAAATTCCTTGGGATAACTCCTTAATCTCCCTGCCAGGTCACACAGTTGCTGTGACACCTCCTGGCTTCCAGAGCTGGAGGAACATCTGTGGCTTCCCTCGTTTCCAGGTCCGTTGAAGTGTCTGATGCTCTTCCCTGCTCTCTCCTGCTCCTGGACGGGGTTTGAGGTCTGCCAGGCTGAGCTGAGGTGGATTTCTGCAGGAGCAGTGATCAGACATTTCTCTGGGGCTGCTCTGGGGTGCTGCTGAAGCTCCCAGGAGAAGTGGAGATGGTGAAAACCACGAGCCCATCTCTGGGGAAATTCCCCTTCAGTGTACAGTGGAAAATCCTAATTCCAATCAGTCCAATGAGAAAGCCTTAAATGAAACACTGACCTCACAAAACTCTTTACAATGAGCTCTTTCCCACCCTCCTCCTCCTCATTTCCCCCCAAAATTCGGGGGTGCTGCGATGTTCTGGCGCTTTCCCTCTGGCTGCACAAATTCCAGGGAGGACAGGAGCGTGTGTGGGGAGGGGGCGATGCCGAGGGGAGGCTGAAACCTCCAGGAGCCCCTCTAGGTGAGAGCTGGGCAGGTTTGCTGTGCCCTGACTGTTGCGGAGGGGGGATTTGTGATTTGTGCCGGGGAGAGCGGGGGAAGAGAGAGACAGAGAGAGAGACAGAGAGAGAGAGAGAGAGAGAGAGAGAGAGAAAAGGGGAGTGTGCAGCTCTGCCTCTGCTACCAGAGCAGGATCTGGCAGCTTTGGAAGCTCGCAGCTCCCCGCCCTGAGCATCCCGGACCTGCCGCTGGAATTGGCATGGAAGCGCCAAATGGGTTTATTTCTCCGCCGCTTCTCGTTTCTCTCTCTCAGCAATAATTCACCTGAGGGCTTTTCTTCCCCCCACCTCCTTTTCTCACGCTCTTTTTTGATGTGGAGAGAGGGGAGAAAAGGGCGTTGTGGACAGAGAGTATTTATTTGGGCAGCTTTTTGCGGCGTGTTTTAAAGAGGAGCCGGGCAGAGAGAGAGAAAGAAAGAAAGAGGGAAATAAATTTTAAAAAAATTTAAAAAAAAGGGAAATAAAGAAGCAAGAAGGAAGAGGACGGCACAGAGTGGTGGCGGCGGGGGGTGCGGAGCATGGGCTGGCGGCTGCTGCTGCTGGCCCTGGCGCTGGGCGGCCGCCTCGGCACGGCGCAGAACGACACGGAGCCCATCGTGCTGGAGGGCAAGTGCCTGGTGGTCTGCGACTCCAACCCGGCCCCCGACGCCAAGGGCTCGTCCTCCTCGCCGCTGGGCATCTCCGTGCGGGCGGCCAACTCCAAGGTGGCCTTTTCGGCCGTGCGGAGCACCAACCATGAGCCCTCCGAGATGAGCAACAAGACGCGCATCATCTACTTCGACCAGGTGAGCGCCGCGCATCCCCCGCGCATCAACAGGTGCCGCCTCCCCCCGTCCCTGCACCCCGAAATCCTCCCCAGCAGAGCGGCAGGGCAGGGAGAGCCGAGCCTGGGGCTGCGGAGGGTCCCCGCTTGTCCCCCGGGAGCGGCACCGGCCCCGGGAGCAGCCCCGGAGGTGCCGCCGGGCAGCGCTCGGTGGTGGCACCGGCGTGGTGGCATCGCCCCGAGGGGTCGGGGACAGCTCCGTGCAGCCTGTGTAGGGTTTAGACGGTTTGGGCAGCTTTTGAGAGAGGGAGAGATTTCTAAAGGAAAACCCTTTACATTTCCTGGCACAATTGATCCAGCTCTGATTTCTAAAGGAAAACCCTTTACATTTCCCAGCACAATTGATCCAGCTCCGATTTCTAAAGGAAAACCCTTTAACTTTCCCGGCATAATTGATCCAGTTCCGATTTCTAAAGGAAAACCCTTTACATTTCCCGGCACAATTGATCTATCTCCTATTTGTAAAGGAAAACCCTTTACATTTCCCAGCACAGTTGATCCAGCTCCTATTTCTAAAGGAAAACCCTTTAACTTTCCCAGCACAACTGATCCAGCTCCGATTTCTAAAGGAAAACCCTTTACATTTCCCGGCACAATTGATCCAGCTCCACTCAGCTCACACCAAACGTGGCTCTGGTACCGGGCAGACACCAACACACGTTCTGATCCCAGCTCCCGTCCTGGGGCGAGCCCAAAGTCATCGAGACCGATGGTTCTTCTTGTTCTGTGCCCTGCTGTGCTGAGCAGACCACAGCTGGAGCCAGATGTGCCACACAGCTGGAACTGCAAATGACCCCCAAACTCCATGGACAGTCCTGGAGGCTTCTGAAGGCTGTGCTTGGCAATATCAATTAAAAACAAAGCATAATTAGGTGGTAAGAGAGCAAAATGCAGTGAGTGGTTACAGAAGATATGTAGCATATGGATGATGCACTTATCTTGAACATTCCCCTCTGTCACTTCTCTGTGTTTAATTAAACCCAAATTATTATTAATGCTGGTAAAATTACTGTTAGTGCTGGTAAAAGCAGCTGAAGGCTCCCAGGCAGGTTTTCTGGGGTGTGCCAGGAGCTCCAGTAACCCAGCCTGGCTGAGCACTGGGAATGGCTCCTGCTGTTCCTGCACTCCCTGCTCACACCTGGCTCTTTGGGAAGGCAGCGCTGGCTTGGCCACTCATTCAGCCAAAATCCACGTGCCACTCCCAGAATTGGGATTTTCATGTTGTCCTACAAACACAACTAAATACCCATTTAATTAGCTATTCCAAAGTAATTGAGAGAAAATTAATAAACCAGTTTAGTCGTAAATTAAAATTTTCCATGGACAAATGGTTTCTGAAGTAAATAACCTGTATTTTTCTTTAGCGCTCACTACCTGTACTAATCCCTGTGCTCTATTTTTCTGTTTGTAGATCCTTGTAAATGTGGGCAATTTTTTCACGTTGGAGTCTGTCTTTGTATCACCACGGAAAGGAATTTACAGTTTCAATTTTCACGTCATTAAAGTCTACCAGAGTCAAACAATTCAGGTATGTTGATGCTTATGGTTATAAAATCTTTATTTAACTGGTTTATTTAGGATAGAATATTGACTGAGCATGGGAGCATTTAATATGATTTTAAGGAAAAATAGTTTTGTTTACAGCAACCTGTGGTGTTGATTTCCTAGCTAGCAGTAGAGTCCATTAATTTAAAATGAACAGAAATAAGGCAGGATCCTCACCTCAGATAAATCAGCACAACTTCACTTCTATGTCATGAATATCTGGGTGGCATAACGGATTCCATAGGATGAGTGATCCAAGAGTAAAACAGAACTCTGAATTTCACTTAAAAGCTGTTGAAGAGTCATGTTTTGCTCCGGGTTAAACTCACAGTGTGGAACACAGGAGTTCTGGGTACCAGATTTGAGATTGGAACAGATTCCAAAACCAGATTTGTTTTTGGAACAGTTTGTGCCCTGGCATCTGGTTATGCCCTCGGTATGCTGAGGACCAAGGTTGGTCATATCCCTATAGCAATGTCTTCTAGGGAACCTTGACAGCAATTTAAACTTCTTTTTTCATCATACAATGTATAAAAGGTGTGTGATCTATTAGAGAAAAGGGGCATTCTGCACTTCCTTCTGTAGCTTAATAGCAATGGAGCTACTTAATTAAATACAAGAGGGAAAAGCCTTTTAATTCCTGAACAGCCAACAGCAAATTCCTTGGGATAACTCCTTAATCTCCCTGCCAGGTCACACAGTTGCTGTGACACCTCCTGGCTTCCAGAGCTGGAGGAACATCTGTGGCTTCCCTCGTTCCCAGGCCCATGGAAGTGTCTGATGCTCTTCCCTGCTCTCTCCTGCTCCTGGATGGGGTTTGAGGTCTGCCAGGCTGAGCTGAGGTGGATTTCTGCAGGAGCAGTGATCAGACATTTCTCTGGGGCTGCTCTGGGGTGCTGCTGAAGCTCCCGGGAGAGGTGGAGATGGTGAAAGCCACGAGCCCATCTCTGGGGAAATTCCCCTTCAGTGTACAGTGGAAAATCCTAATTCCAGTCGGGCCAATGAGAAAGCCTTAAATGAAACACTGACCTCACAAAACTCTCTACAATGAGCTTTTTATCTGTTTAATGTGCTCAAAAAGTGTTCCTTTCAGTCTCTGGCTCGCTGAAGGTTGAAGAACTGTATGTCAGCCCCTCAGTGGGTTTAAAATGCCCATTGCCAAGGAAGATGCCAAGCCTTGGCTTCTGGAAGTCCAGCTCAGACTCTGGAATTTCACAAACCAAGAGCTTGTACCTGGGAGTCTGGGGCTTGTGGCAGGGGATGTTTCAACCTGTGGCTCATGGCACAGAATATTTCATGGATTAAAGACTCTGGAGTGATGGATGGGTTTGCTTGGCCCCGGTTTAGAGCAGACAGTGTGAGACCATCCCCTGCAAACCCGTCATGTGTCTTCTGGTGTGATTAAATTCCCTGGTCAGATGATTCCAGGGGAACCTGATGGAACAGAAAGAGTGAGAAACCCAAGCCAAGCAATGAGTAAAGCCCTGATGCCCTTTTCCTGCGAGGTAAATGGGGAGAAGAACCAGAAACCATTGCAGTGGATCAAACTGCTTTGAGTCTCAGCCACATCCAGCCCCACTAAATCACCTGCAGGCTCCCCACACAAGGGATGTTGCTCTGCCCCCACAACATCTGTTAGAGCCTTTAAATATCATTAAACTGCAATTGGTTCCCTGGAGACATCTGATTAAGTGGATTTCCCAGACAGGTGAATCCCAAATAAATACCGGCCTCTGCTGCCCTGACTTCTGCTGAGCACTAATTTATTCTGTGGTGACTCCCATTACAATTAATGGGACCATATGCAAGGCCAGCACAGTGGATGTGGGTAAGCATCCCATAATTCACCCCCTGTGACTGCATTAGAGCTGCTTGGGAAGGAAAAACAGCAAAGCTGATCACTTGCCATGGGGGAAATGAAAAATGCCCATTCCCCCAGGCCCTGCCCATTTTTATTTAGAGATGCTGCTTTCAGAGCAGAGGCTGTGCTGGCTTCAGAAGTGTTTTATAGAAAGAATGGAGCCAGTTTATAGAGCTGAAAATCTGTTCTAAACATCAGAACTAAGCTGCCATCAGTATTGAAAGGGACACACGTTTTGTTCCCAGTGAAGTGTAAGCTCCAGCAAACTGTGCTGCTTCTGACACCTCATGTAACACCTGTGGGTGCCCAAATTTCTTGACTATATATATTTATTTTTCCTGTGGGACTAACTAACCCTTGAGACAGGCAAAGCTGGACCAGCTGAGGTGATGCCTCACTCAGCTGCAGGTCCAGCTCATGAACATCCACGTGCTTGTGCCAGATAAATGTCATTTTTAGTTTAAAACAACCCAAAAAGCACTGAAGATTGGGCCCTTGCACTGTGGCTCATATTCAGGGGCAGTTGCTGATGTTTTGCAGTTAATTAGAGCTTCTCAGGGGCTGTCTTGCAGGTGAATTTGATGCTGAATGGGAAGCCAGTGATCTCTGCTTTCGCTGGGGACAAGGACGTCACCCGTGAAGCCGCCACCAACGGGGTCCTGCTCTACCTGGACAAGGAGGACAAGGTTTACCTGAAGCTGGAGAAAGGAAATCTGGTTGGTGGGTGGCAGTACTCGACATTCTCTGGCTTCCTGGTCTTCCCCCTGTAAAGTCAATTTTCCCGTGACGTTCATCCAGGTGTGGACTCACCCTCGCCTCTGTTCCATGAAGGTCGTTTTGTCATCCTGGGAGTGATGGTTCTTTATTGCTTTCTCACGGGTGATTTTGGATTCTCTCCATGGATTTTGGCCCCATCTGAACTACTCAGAAGTGCCACAGAATTCTGTGTGTCCAGATATGATCTCTTCGGCCTGAGACTAAAGCAGACAATAAATATCAACGCTTAAGGTTTCAGCCTAAAGCTGCCTGCAAGATTTATTCCAATTTCACTTCCTGGATTCGGGGAAGAAGTGGATTTTCTTCAACTGTGAAAAGGCTGGCACCGAGTCTTTCATGTAGGAGAGTCTGAGTTCAGACTTCAAGCAGGAGTTAGTGTGTTCTGCCAAAGAGCTGTGCATTGATGTATTGGTCATGTTCCTGTCCTGGCCTGCTCTCCACCATCCATCCCTTGTCTTAGAGACGTCATTCCTATTGCTAAGTGGCTGCTGGAGCTCTCCTCTGCGTGTTGTGTGTTGGATGGTTCACCCAAATATTTAAGTTCAGTCACAACCAAGCCCAGCCTCCATAAATCTGGGGGGCTGTGGAAGTGTTTTGGTTGGATATGGAAGGGGTTCCTCTCTTCCACGTGCTGATTCCTAAAAGGAAAAGCAGATTTTGACCATTCAGGGTTAAAGGTGGTCATGCAGGCACAGCTTTGCTCAGCAGCTTTGCCCTGCAGGACACCTCACACTTGTTCTTCAATTTTAATTAACTTGATTGATAATTACTGCTTTATTCAGCTCCTGAGGGATTCCTTCCTTAGACACAACCACTTTGTCAGCTGGAGATGAGATCCCCCTTGTTTGTATTTCTGTGTATTTCCAACCCTTCTGTTGTGTTAAAGGTCTTATCAGGTTTTGCCTTAACTCCACAGGTGTATAAAACTTTAGATTATTTGTTTAACAAATATGAAAGGCAAATAACTGATACCTAACTTGGTGCAAAAGCTTCCCAGATTTTTGTACAGGTCATGTGAATTCATAAATTATTTATTATCTCATTGTTCCACAATAAAGGTTAACACATGTTAGCTGAATTTTTGACTTTTGGATTTTGGGAGTTGCTTCATACTATTTTTTTAATTGGATATTATTATTATATGAAAAATGGAAGCTTTTGGGAGTCACAGAAACTATCCTAGGAGGCAGAAAAACTGCAATGAGTTAATCTGGCAGAATCCTGGAGGTAATCAGAGTGATCTAGAAATAACCTATGCATTTTATTTAAAAATAGAATTTAGGCAGAAATCCTGGCCTCACTGAAGTTGGTGCTAAGAATCACATTGATTCCAAAGGATTTTGGAAGAAACCTCTGCTTTAGGTTCTGCCATCAGCATCAAACTCCAGCGCCATCAGGTTGAATATTCAATAAAATCATTTTCTCATGAGCTGCTAATGAAACCTTCACCCCTCATGCCCCAAATACACTGAATTGATGGATCTTTGTGCCTTGCATATCATGAAGGATGTGGTTCTAAATTAAAAATTTCTGTGTACTTGAAAAAGTTTGTGGGTGAAAACATCTGCAGCAACCTGGGAGCTTCCCTGGAAGCCCCTCTGGGCTGGGATTTGCTGCTTTTGGGATCTGTTTCCACTTCCTTCCCTTGCAGTGTGTCCTGCTGGTATTTCACTGATTGGAAATCTCATTCCTGGCTGCTTGGAAACAGCAAATAAAAATATTTATATACATATATAAATAATATAATATATAATATTTATGTATCTATATAAATATAATAATAAAAATATTTCCTTGTGGAAATATCAGGGAATTGGCAGCACAGCTTTGTGCCCAAATTCCTGATTTTTCCTCAGCCACCACACAGGAGATTTTGGGCTGTTTCAGGAGGATTGGTGGGTGCTTTGCACTCCTATAAGTCAGATAGGAGGTGATTTTTTTAACACACAATTTTGTTGCTGTACTGACCACTGCAGTTGGGGAAGAAGTGGAAGGACCTGGCAAGGCGGTGAATGATCCACGCTGCTGAAAAATATTCAAAAGTTGTCATGACCAATCAAAATGTGTTCTTGCTGTACCCCAAAATGTGTGTATATAAATATATGTGTATCTAAACCACCTGGAATTGCAGATCATAGTTTGCATGATGTTATAAAGAGGTTACTTGTCCTAAGAGTTTATTTCAGACGGGAGCATTGGTGTTTTTTGTATAAAATGGGTTAAATCTGCCATCTCCCCTTGCCCATGGATATATCTGTAATGTAAAAGAAATGTTGCTACTGAGACAGAAGAAAAATGGCATTAAAGGTGTCAGTATAATTTCTGAATCATCCAATGTATCTAACTTCTTTAATTTGGGAACATATGAGCTTTAAAGGCTGCTTTAGCACCCACCAATAATCCTGAGCTATCTCAATATTGCTTTGATTGCCCCTCAGCAAAACATTTCTGATTTCTTCTGAGCCATTAATGCTTATTTAAACTTGAGCTGGAGAGACTGGGGAGTTATTCACTGAAGGGATAGATTTGGGTGGAAAAGCTTCTAAAACCAGAATTGCCAATTCATTCTTTTGCTGGTTAAAGGGGAGGTTTAAGTGGAGCTGCTGTGATCACACTGAGGTGGCCTCTGGGGACAGGAAGCTCACACTTGGACATTTAAATAAGAACAAACTGTGGGGTTTAGACACAGCTTGAGCTACCAGACCTTGTCCTTGTTTTTATTGTGCTGTCCCACCTCAGCTGTGCCAGCAGGAGCTGCTCCCAGGAGAGAGAAGAGAGGATGAGCCAGGCTGGAAAATAAAATTCCTTTTCCTTCATGTCCTGCCACAGCATTTTCCTGTTGAGAAGCTCAGGAGACACTTCACTTTTTGAAGGGTATTTATGATTCGAGGTTTGATTGTTTTCAAAGACCTGCAGCCCTGCCCTGAGCTGCTCTGTAAAGGTTGGAGCTGAATTTCTGATTCTCTGCAGACTCATGGATTTTGGGGAGGGCACAAGGTGAGGATCCACACCCACATCCTTTACCCACTCTGCAGAACTTTGCACCTCACAAAGGCTGATTCTGCCAGGAAACTTTTTAGCCACATGTGGTAAGGACAAAAGAAAGAGAATAAGATATTCATTTATTTTTCTCTTTCTGAGAATAAGAGATTTATTTTATTATCAGTTATTTCTTTGTTACTTTTTAATCTGGTTTATTCATATTTTATCTGTAATTTTTTTGTGAAATCGAGGGGAAAATCCCTCTCTATTTTCCCTTCTTTCACTCCTCAGTAATGTAAATTAAATGCTGTTGGAAGAGCCAGCTCTCCCTGCTTGCCTCTGCTCATCCAGTGCAGAAATCTGCTCTGTCTGCTGAATCCTCTGTGCTGTGAGCAATTTGGGCTGCACAAGCCAAAAAGCTGCAGAGCCCAAAAAAATCCTGTTCAAAAGAACTTAGTGGCAAAAGTATTTTTGGAAAACAACTGAGGTAGCTTTGAAATTTTCACAAGCTCTTTTGTCACTAAATAAAAAAGAAAAACCAACGTTGAAACATAGAAAAGGAAAACACATTCCCGTTTTTTAAACAAGCTTTATGTGTGGTTTATGTTACATCATTTTCTAGCAGTGTCTGCACATTTTATGATTTTATGAGTGTTAATTCAATCACTTGGGGACAGGGTTTGGGAAATGATTCCAGGTGCCAACACATCCAGTCCTGCTCCTGTTCAGTTTGCTGGACCAATCCTTCTTCTGAGACAGGACATTTTTTAAATACAAAGGATGGTTCTGGAGTAAATGGAATTCTGCTGTATTTCCCCTTTCCATATTATATCTACACACCACTCCCAGAAAGAGGAATGCAATGGAAGAGTCTGAGGTGCCTGAAGAATTTCCCAATTAGCTGCCAACTCTTTGTTTAAGCCCCCAGAGGAGCACAGCTGCACACTGAGCAGTTTTACAAGCAGGTTTTAGAACAGAGAAATAAATGCAAGGAGCTCTATATCATAATCACACCAAGGAGCTGAGCCATTAATATGAAATACAGGCTGAGGAAAACAGAAAAATGTTCTTTTCCTTGATGTTCTCCTCCTTTATAGGGGGTTGTGAGCTGGGAACATCTTTTACCTCAGCAATTCACAGTGCCCTTTATATTAAGAGCTCTTTAAAATATTCAAGCTCTTTGTCTTCTAAAGATAACATCAGCCAGATAACTCAATGGAAATACATGAAGCTGCCCAGGGACAGAATTTATTGGCTGGCACATGCCACAACAACATATTTTTTGTGCTTTTGCTGTCCAGACAGAAAAGGCTCCTTTGAGAAAAGAAAATTGTCTTAGACCCTCAGCTGAAGTTATTTATATGTTGCTGGTTGGGAATGGGGAGGGGAATAAAGCCCTTTCCTACCCTAGGGGGAATTATATAAAGAATGATGATAAAATCAGTGCTTTTTCCTTTCCCCTTTCCTTTCCTTTTTCCTTTCCTTTTTCCTTTCCTTTTTCCTTTCCTTTCCTTTCCTCCCTGTGGACTTTCAGACAACCACAAATATTTACAATCTATATTGAAATATCGATGAACATTCAGCAGTTTTTGGTACAAATTAACCATCTCAACAAGTTAACCAACTCATTTAAAAAACTGGGAAATTTTAAATTTTTTTTTTCTTTATTTTCATTAATTGATTAATCTCCCTGGGCACTAAAGGAAGACACTGAAGGGACCTTCAGTGCCAGGAAAATGGAAATTATTGCAGTCAGCAGCTGCATGAATCAGAGTCCAGGTGGAACTGCTCAGTGCAACCCAGATTTCCAGGCAGAACAGGAGATAACAGGAGCTACAGATCTCTTTAAGGACACCTCATCCCTCATTTCTTAGAGAGAAACAAACTCTGGCTCATTTCTAGAAAGCCAAATAATGAAACCATTTGGAGAATGAATACCTAAAGCACAGGAATGCTGAGGAACATCAGGGCTGTGGAAGAAATGAATTCTCTGGCAGCATCAAGTGTTTTACTTTTTGTGGAGTGTTTAAATGGATTTCCACAAAAATAATAAAAGGCTTCTGGAGGAGATAACTCCAAGCCCATCTATCTTTGTTGCCTTGAATTCAGTAGTGGTTAAGTGAGATAGTCTGGGCTTATTCTGCTGCAAACACTGATTCAGTGGGCAGGATTCAGCTGTCAGCTCCTTTTTGTGCAGGAATTATTTCTGCACAAGAAGATGCTTTTCTTCAGGTCTCCGAGAGACAGGTGAGGTTTGCAGCTCTGATCACAGAACAGGAAATGTGCAGAGCTCAAAAGCCTGACTTGGGGCTGCAGCCCTGGCTCTTCAGAAGGTGGATTGAATATTCTGCACATCCCTCAGGTGGAAAAGGCTTTTTTGTGCTTGTAGGTGTCAGTCCTGGCTCAGACACGGGGGTGGCTTAAATGAGGTTTCCAGTGATGACAGCAGCCAGGAGAACAACTGTGAGCACCTCTAAACTCGGATGATTTGTCAGGAGCTCACCCTGAGAGCAGCAGTGGCACTGATCTGAGGGTTTTTGGTAAAAGGCTGCTCAGCAGAGCAGGACAAAATGCAGCAAACGCATTTTGTGGAGGAAAAAAGTGGCGGCTCACAATATTTAATTATTTTTTAGGCACAGGAAAAAAGAGCAAAGCCTGATGTGCAGCAGCACCTGCAAAACTTGCTGAAATAACGTTCAAAAAATCACAACAGGAACACACTGTTTAAACAATCAATCAATCAATCAATCAATCAATCACTGTGTAAGCACTGCAGGTTGTGCAACTGCAGGGGCAAGCCAAGGGTGCCTATAAACTGAGTTTCCCCCTCTTTTAAAATCTGAGTTTAAGGTGCTCAGAAGGGCATTGTTGGGTTTTTTCTGGAAAGCTCAGCTAAGGAATTTGCTTTTCATGATGCCCGGGAGGGTCCCCACAAAGTAATAAGTCAGCATCATTTTCTAGCTGCAGCTGATAGCATTTATTGCTAATTCTTAAACCCTTTTTTAAAAGAAAACAAGTCTGTGGCTGCATTGCACCCACAGGAATAATCTTTCTTTTCCTCAGTTTGGTAATTCAATTGTGACTTGTAAACTTGTGCAGCTGTAGAAAAAAACAAGAAGTCTACAGTCAACTCTAATCTATCTTGAGGAGAGTAAAAAGTGCTTACCAGCACTGGGGTAGTAAATCCTGGCTGCTTTATTAAATAAATGTAGAATTTTACTCAGAAGCCTTAAGGAAGAAGAGTTTTAAAGTATCTGAACGATTTAGCACGTTCTGAAGCTGAATAAAGATTGATTGAATTTTGGTGTGAGATATAAACTGATGACAACCTAAATCCCACTGAAATGGACTAAAAAATGTGGCCATTATTGGTGTCTCCTGAATGGTGGGAGACAAACCAAGAGAACTGCCCGAGGATCACAGGATTTCTGCCACTTTAAAACAGACTCTAAACAGATCCCCAAAGCTGTTTATTGTTGTTACTGGACACAAAATGGGTATCCAGAATTTTGGTGAATTTAAGAGGGAAAAAAAGTGAATTTTATTTTTGACTTTGTAATATATAGAATTTTAAAAGTGATAGCAGATTGGAGGATGAAATTGTTACTTTTTTAACTACACAGTCCATTAATTCTCTCTTCCTGCAAAGAAGAATGTAAAACAATCATTATTTACATTAACAATGCCTGGGAAACTCCAGTAGAAATATATAAACATCAGAAGGCATAGCAAACTTTTAAAATAACTTTAAAACTTTTAAAAGAACAGGGTGACATTTTCCCAAAGTGTCTGGTCTCTGGATGTGCCACACCTGGGGACCTTTTCTGGGATGCTCCTAAATCCCTTTGGGTGCTCCTTAAGAACAAGGTTTGATCCTTGGGAATGTTCCTGCAGCACCAGAATCCTCCCATTGGACTGTGAGATTTTAATAGTTTTATAAATTTTTTGAAATCTAAACCCTTTTATCATCTCTAACAATTCCTGTATTTTTATTTCCCCAAATAACCAAGTGCAGAAGTACCAACGTGGGGTGGTTACAGAATATACATTATCCTTTAATGCATTAAAGATGCTGTCTCAAAATTCCTACTGGCATTAGGAACACACCAATTCTCCTTGGCTTTCTGATGTTGTCTACAGAGTGAGGAGAGAGGATGCCTTTCACCTTTGAAATGCTTGGGAACTGGATTCTTTATGCACAAAATCATTTCTAGATTCTTCTTCTTTGCCAGCAGATAAGGAGTCCCCATTTAGGCCTGGAAATATTGGTGTGGGTGAAGTTGGAATGCTGCAGAAAAGGACTGCAGCAAGATTCATTCAGGTGGCAGTGAGCTCTCAGGTGCCTGGC